TACAAAAGCAAATAGCAATTTTGCAGTACAGAATTGGAGTTATGCTGAGAAAATGAATTTTGTTGAAATTTTCATCTTGCATTCATCAGGGCAATTCAAATACCCAAGTAACAGAAAAACCACAGTTATACCAAATGAGGGGCGACTGCTAATTGGCTAGCAGTTGAATTCTGATTGCTAGAGGCATTGCCATGGAAAATGTACCAGTTAATGACAACTGACAGTTAACTGGCAACATTTAGATTTTATACAAGATGGGTTGACTCTGGTTAGAGCACTGTCCTAAGAAATGAACTAATAATGACTGCCACCTATTTCGATATATTGAAACAGATTCCATATGTGCATATATTCTGTCTGTTTGCAAAGTACAGGGTCCAAATATATTAATACATGTAGCTTCCAATATATGGTGTGCCATACTGCAGCCTGTCAGACAATCCTAAATTGATCATCAGCATAATCCTTTGTGCACTCAGGATTGTGTAGGAGATGGTGTCCAATTGCAGAATCATATGTTGGACACTGTCCTGTGAATTTTGCAAGTGCAGCCAGGTTGGGTATGGTCAGTACCTTGGTTGTTACAAACCACAAAAGGATGCACAGATGAAAACAACACATACACGAACTGTGCCTGTTGCAATGCAACAAAATAGGTGATATCCTCTGGCTCATCATCAGGGCAATGTTTTGTGTTACAAGGACGTTTTATATTTGATATTGCATGGAGGACTTACCTGGAGTAGTTTCTTTAAAGGAAGTCATTTAAAGTTCACTTTGGAGATTTTGTTTCAAAACCAGATTCCTAGTAATTACATGACCAATTATAATTGCATGCTTTGCTGCAAATCCTGGCTGGGTTTGAACAATGACTGGCTGAGAAAGGACTTTGCTTTTTGGACAGCGGTTAGCTCAGTTGGCTGGACAGCTTGTTTGCAATTGATGTGATGTCAAGAGCTTGGCTTTAATTCTGGCACTGGCTGAAGTCACCATGAAGGACTCTCGTCAAACTCTTCCCCTCACCGGAGGCATGGTAACCCCTCAGGTTAAACCACCACCAATCATCCCTTCTTAATGAGAGCAACCATGTGGTCTGGTAGGACGATGGTATCTTTACCTTTCAGTTGGAAGAGAACAGAGTTGTAGTAAGGATTGCTGTGAACAAGCTGTCCAGCTCATCTCTCCTCTTTCTGAAAATAAAACCCTCTGTATCACAGTTCAGGGTGTAACCTATTTGGGCTTTTGAAAGAACATCAAGATTCAGCAGGCTACGTCTGCATGATTTTGGAGGCAACTGTGCATGATTAGTGACTTGATCATATGTGTCAGAACATCAGAGCAATGGACTCGAAACAACCTTCATTTTTCTCACCTGATATATCTTATTGCTGTACTTCCTCCAACTGGAATTGTTTTTTTATCTCTAGAACATCCTTTTACCTTCGTGCTTCTATTTACAGAAAAAGTTGTGTGCGCGCGTGTGCATGCATTTTGGGAATTTAGAGAAATAAGCATTCATCCTTCTTTATTAACAACTGTGCATGTTAACCAATTATTGCATTATTAGTGAATAAGTTCTAATAAAAAGATAATAAATCCACATTTTTTATTAGAAGTGGCTGATAAGTTTTTAAACTTAAATATCTTTTTAACTTAAAACCAGATACAGATATTTAATTTGTCATCTTGGTTATTGGAAAAAGTACTTTTATGTTGCGACCCGTGGAGTAGTGATTCTAGAGTGAGAAGGGGCGAAGGGAAGACGCGGTGTGAAAATAATCACAGAGCTTTGTTTGTATCGGAACAGTTTAATTCCTGTATAGTGTGTTTGTGAAACTGACACCCACATCAAGCATGCCAAAATTCTAACAACATAGGAACAGCAACAATTCATTCATCACTTCCCCCTATTCAATTGGGTCATGGTTGGTCCGTTCCTTAAGTCCTTTCACTCATCTTGGCTCCATAACCCTCAACACCCTTAACTAGAAAAAAAAACAAGCAACCTCAAATTTAAGATAATTAATTGAGCTAGCTTTTCTATTTTTGTTCCACACTTGAAGTAACCTTTGTATGTAGAACTTTTTCCAAACTTCACTCCTGAATGTATTTTGATTTTAAGGTTCCTTTCTTTGTCCTGCATTTGCCCAGCAGCAGGAAAAAAGTTTATTTCAACTTCATTTTAAATCCTTAAAAATGCCTCAATCTATTCAACCTTCAACGTGATCTTCTTTATTCCAGAGACTACCAAGCTAATTAATGCAATCTTTCACAAGTAAAGCATTGGAGCCCTGTAACAGTTGTGATGGTCATTTGTAAGTTTGAAGCAGGAAAATATCAACATGTTTCGAAATCTTAGAGCATGCTCCTTCTTTACCAGTGCTTATGGAAATCCATAGCATAATATCAAAAGAAAATGCTAGCAACCATTATCAGAGGAAAATGTTTTATTTCTAGCTTCAAAGTACCTTTTCTCAAGGTGAAGGATACACATGAAAAGTACTATCCCTGAGAACAGAAACAAGATGAGAGTTCTTAAGTCCCCTAGTAACGTACCTGCTAACATACCTTCCGATCAATCTTGTGTGTTCTGATTGATCTATTCCCTACACCAGTCACCCTGGATAATTTTCTGAAATAAAAATGCCTATTTAAGTTGGATTTCCACAGGGATTTGTTAGCGTTTGAAAAATTAATTCTCCATGAAATCACCTCAATATAGGAAAAACAATTACATGAAAACTGCTCTATTCCCCCCTTGCTGACTTTCAGAAAGTAGAAACAATGTTAATAAATGGAAGCCTTAGGTTATAGACGTCACTGCATTTAAATTAGAATCAACATAAACTTAGTGCAAATCTTAAATTATGGAATTGTTGTTAGAAGAAATACAGACAAGAGAATGTATTTAACACAACCACTTATCTTTCTATTTTGTTCTTAGCCCTATGTCACCAGAATAAAGAATTATTTAAAAAAAAGATTTTCATTGGCTATGGTTATTGTTTGCATTACCAGCATTTTTTGCTGTTTTGCCCTTGAGAATGTGGTGGTGAGCCACCTTCTTGAACAGCTGCCATCAATGGGCGATAGATAAAACTCATTTCCTAAAATGGGTATAAGACTTTGACTTGATGACAGTGAAAGAACAGCAATGTAGTTCTAAGTCAGGATGTCGCATGGCTTGAAGGGGAACCTGCATGTGGTGCTGTTCCCATGCATCTACTGAGCATCTTCTGGCTGGTAGAGGCTATCAGTTTGGAATGTGCTGTTGAAGGAGCCTTGGTGAATTGGTATAGTGCATCTTTTAGTTAGTAAAGAGTGCTGCCACTGTACACCAATAGTGGAGAGAATTATTTTCCAATGTGATGAATGGGCATCAAGTGGCCTGCTGCGTCGAGCTTGAATGTGCACTCATCCAGACAAGTGGAGAGTATTCCATGAGACTCCTGACTTGCATCTTGTAGATGATAGACAAGTTTTGAGGAACTAGGAAGGGAGTTACTTACTGCAGAATTTCTTGCCTCTGACCTGCTCTTGAAACCACAGTATTTATGGCTGATACAATTCAGTTTCTTGAAAATGATAACCCCCCTCTATATTATAACCATTCAGTATGGTGGAGTCAGTACTAAGTGATTAATAATTCAATAATTCTGAACAAAGAGGCCGACTCCTTTAAGAAGGGGACAGTCCAGCTGAAAATTCATTTGTTATCACTTCTAATGTAATTTCCCATTCTAAAACAGTTTTTAAAAAATTACCTTCCTTCCTCTTTAAAGGTGCTGCTTGACGTTCACCTCTTTGGCAAGCCTCTCGTCATGGTTCCTAACATCTCTTTCATTAGTTAGCCATCCATTTTTTTGTCCAATAATGGGGAGGCAGTGGCCTAGAGGTATTAATGCTGGATTGTTAACAGAGACCCAGGTAGTGCTCTGGGGACCCATGTGAGAATTCTGCCACAACAGTCTAATGATGGTCATGAATCCATTGCTGAGTGTTGGAAAAAACCCATCTGGTTCATTAATGCCCTCTAGGGAAGGAAACTGGCATTCTTAGCTGGTCTGGCCTACATGTGATTCCAGACCTCCACAATTTGGTTTTCTCTTAAATGGCTTCTGGAATGGGCAATAAATGCTGGCCTAGCCAGCAACACCCTCATTCCATGAATGAATCATAAAAATCCATGAAAGTAACTCTAGGGTTAGGGTTAGGGTTAGGGTTAGGTCAATACGCAAGTACAGTTTTGTTGAACCGAGCCAGAATTGTGATGTTGCACCAGACAGTTAGGTTGGAAAAATACAACATAAAATCAAATTCTTCTTTGATTGGCTCACAGGACATGGCCTTGGCCCATCCCAAATTACCCTCGAGAATGCAGTAGTGAGCTATCTTGGCCAGTAAGTGGCTCAGTCTAAGAGTGTCCTCAGAGAAAAGGCTTCGGACTGGAAAATGACAAATTTTCTTCGTTGATTTATAGCACTTATCAGGTTATAACTCCTTTAAATAGTTCCATGAATTTACTGAGACAACTCAAGTTAAGTTGGTAAATATATATTCTTGAAGCTGGAACTTTATATTTCAGAAATATTTTCCCCCACAAGCACACTAAATTAGAGATTTCCTAACATTGTTTACTATCTCAAAAGTCCCTTCACACAATTTTTACTTTGATATCATATCAATTTAACAACCCACAGATCATTCTTGATTCAATAAGGACAGAATTAAAAGTTGTGAATGAAGTAGAACTAAAAAAGGGCTAGATAATAACTAGGACATTGTGTTAAGTTGAGAAATTGTGGGACTTAAGGTGTTCAACTGCTGGCCAAGTTTGGTATCAGTGAACCCCATCACATGTTTCAGTGATCCAAAATACTCACTAAATGGTCAGCAAATATATACATTTCTACGATTTTGAAATCTATTTCAATATATCACAAAAAGCTGCAGGTTAGATTTGAGTCTTGAAAATGAAGAATCAGATCTGGACTGGAAGATAAGAAAGAACAAAATATTTTATTCTTCAGCTGATAGTCCAGATTCAGCACAATTTTCACCTCAGTGCTATGATGCAACTGGTAATTTGCAAACACTAACATTTTATTGGTAAAGATGCTGTTTTACATGTTTTCCTCAATTTTTTTCCTTTGATTCAGCTTAAAGTTAATATTTCACAACCCGGGGAGAATTTTATTTTAACAACTAGAAAACATTTTCTCCCTTATTTTCAAGTAATTACACTGTTTTATAAAGTTACTTTATACTGTTTAAATAGCTTGCCACCAGTTTTAGATGATGTATAATACCTCTGCAAGCAATGGACTTCAGACAATTCAAGAATATATGTGCAAGAGCCATTGTTGAATTCTTACCGGAATCATTCATTTATTGCTTACATTTCCTATTTAGTTCAATTTCAGTATCAACCCACTTATGAAGCAAATGTGCTTTTTTTTTTATTAGAAATACATTTACATTTCTCAATTCAGTTTTTTGCTGCAGGAAGTGTGCAATTTAAACATAATGATTCAAAAATTAAGGTTCATTACATATATAACTACAGCAATATTACCATTTACACTTATTTAATTGGTCCCATGAGTAGAAATAATTGGTTTCCCCACTAGTACACCTCACAGGTTTCTGCTAATAACAGAAATGATCACCTTCCCAACACGGTGTACTGAAACCTTCATGCTGTTCAATATCCACATTTCATTTTTCTACAGACTACAGACTTCTAAAAGTTAACAAGTGTATTTTGGCATATAATCATCTGTTCAAAGTACCAATAAACAATTCTATATTACAATTGCTTAACAGACCCCAAAAAGTGATCTGTTCCAGTAAACAATTCATTCAAGAAACTGCACACTCACTTTCTCAGAGTTCAGTATAGTGTTTTAATTACACAAACACCTTTTCTTTAAGCAGGAAGCAAAACCCAATTCATAAGAGCACTTCTTTAAAGCTGTGGGATTTATCCATATTGTAATGTATATCTGTATAGCTTTTTAAAAATTGAATATTGCACCCTTTTCCCAAACTAACTAAAGTTCTAGATATTTAATACTTTTCTGCCTAGTTTAAACTAGAATAAAAATCGCATTCTAGTGACTGAAAAATAATTTCCTTCTCCTAGTTCTGAGTTTTTTTTCCCTCTTTATTTAAAGCACAGTATTACCTGAGACAGTGACTCTGGGAAAACTCAAGTGGTAGGAGCAGATATAGATGTCAGCAGATGCAATTTAAACACCCAAATGTTGCAAAAGGTTTCCATCTCAAATGAATATTCTTTCAAAATATTTTGATAATCAGTGGTGTTAGACATCCAAATGTAAATCACTTCTGAAAAGATTAATATTCATCTAATTATAAGGTTCATATCCAGTTAGGAGCCATATCGATCCTGTAAAACACAAGTAAAAGGTCTGTTGAAGCGTTAAGTTTCAATAACGATTGTAAGAAGTTATTGTTATCAAATACAAATACACGTAGTTCTCCTATAACGCAATAGTTGTGTTCTTGCGTGACCTCGCACTATAGAAAATCGCCATCGAAAATCATGTTATAGGGAATCGCTATAGAAAAATCACTACCCCCGTACAGCAGAAAGTTCGCGTTATCAAAACAGCATCCATTATTCATCAATCTCGTTACAGCCAATTCGTGTTAATGAAACATGCATTATAGCAGAACTACCTGTACCCCTCTTTGTAGCAAGCCAAAACAGTTGTCTTTTATAGTCCTTAAGATAAAATGTATTTCTTCATGCAACCTTGGAGCTCAAAAACACTTTGCTATACTGTTGTAGCGTCATGTGCCAGAGTGGCATAAGGCCTGATGCACTGAATCATTTAACCAGAAATGCAAATTTTCTCACTTGGGAGAGAGAAAGAAATGTTTAATTTCTACACATTTCTACACTTCTGGTTTAACAAAGACCTCATATTCATGCAGACTTCTGAATGAATTTTACTTTGCCCACAACACGAGACCAATATTCTCAGTGCACAATTTCAGCAAATTTTATTTTTACAGCAAATGCTTGTAATTGAGTTTTAACATAATGTATAAGCAAAGAACAATGGCCTAGAGTATGCACTTGTAACAATACTTCCAGTGTTTGCCATCTTTACTTTGTGAAGCTGACAACTTTTGGTCTCCATGCATATATTTAAATGTAGAAATTCAGATGTTTTTGTCAATGATTTCCTGCTCCTTTATGGAGTGTGCTGTTGAAGCTCTCATTGTTGATGCTCATTTCTTGAACACGGAAGTCAGAGATCAGTATATATTTAGATATTGCAGGAACTACGGGTTTCTGGTACGGTCAGGGAAATTGAAGCAGAATGCCATCCTTGAGAATACTAAATTGCAAGTCAGGACCAAATAAGTTACTGAAGTATAAACCCTCTAATACTTAACGACTAATTTTATATTTGTGGAATGTCAAATTTCTCCATTTCATAGCGTTTTAAAATATACATATTTCAATTTCTACCTAACTTTCATGTTTTCTGTTCCAATTTTTCCTTTGATTTGTGTAAATCTGTTTTAAAAAAAAAATTATGACAAGACCAGATTGTTACTTCTTGATTTGCTGACTGTGACAATTCTTCAATGTGATTGGTTGCTAGGCTGTCTGATGACAGCAAGCTTCCTGGATACCTCAATCCCTAAAGGTGGAGCCAGAATTAAATTTATGTTGTTAACTGACTGGATCTCTGTGAGCAGTTTTCTTCAAGGCTACAGTCATGTGCTGGGACTTCTCCACTGAAAATGATGTCTAGCCTACTGAATTCATATCCCACCCGAGCTGCTGTTCATGATAGGCATACATGAAAGATTTGACACCTCTAAAATCCACCTAAGCATAACTAACAGACAGCATGAGGAGTTTGAAGCTGAACTATACTTTGATTGGTATTTCAAAACATTCTACTTGTCGCCGTAAAGTTCACATCAACAGATACAAGTATAATCTATTCCAAATACGTGTATAAGACTTTCAGACTAAGAGGATCATCCATTGCCATAAAAAGGTTGGAAAAAAAGCAGACAGTACGGAGAAATCACAATTTTGTCCAAATTGTGGGCATTTTGTGCTCCTGGTGAACCCATGACATTATGAACTATGAAACCACCCAAATTAATTTCTTCCCTTACTTTTAATGAGTACACATAAGTAAAAACCTATGATAAGAGAGTGGCGTGTTAAACCATTGGTTAGCTAAGACTCTAGACAACTATTTTTAACTTAATGTTTAGTGGATAGCATTTATTTATCAATATCATTCTTCAACAATATTTGTTCTCATTTCAGATATTTAACTGAACATTAACATAGATGTCAAAGTTGAACTACCTTTATTAAAAAATAAATTTTGATTAGCATCGGTAGATCCCTTGATAGCCTAGGGTCTGCTTACCCTGACCTATCTCTTTAAGTACTTTCTATTGGAATACAACTGCTTGGAATTGCAGATGAACTCTCATTGCTTGTAACACTAGAACTTTTAATAATGGCTTAATTTGATTTGCTGTAATGTGCATGATATTCTTTTGTTTAATGGACACATACCTAAAACAAACCTTTCAAATATAAATAGCAATTTAAGAATAGATTGGACACAAGAATTTACATGATGATATAAAAATATGCCAACCTGAATGGAATTCATCACTCCATTGGCCAGAACAGACAGCTTCCCAGCCACAGATCTAACACCTTGCTTAAACTGTGCCATGTCCGGAGCTGATGGTAGCACATTGGTCAGAGACACGTTTGCTTAAGATAATGACAAATCAAGTAATGAACATATATTTTATGATCATAATATTCATTTTTAAGTAAAATACAACAAGTATAAAAGAATGAGGAAAGTTTAACTGAACAGACAAAATGCATGAATTTCTGGGTTCACTGGTGTGCTTACTGGTAAATTTCTACAAATGAAAGTAAAAATTTTCTTCAAAGAAAAGTCTGATTTAGAAGTTAGCAACAGTAAATTCCAAACTGGTTTAATTCAGAAAAAAAGTGAAATTAAATAAATGTTTTGTAGATAAAGGATATGAAGCATGAAACCACTTTGTAACAGAGGAAATATGAATAATATAATCCTAAACAGTTTTAAAAAAGATAACTTTTCTTTAGTCTGCTGGCCTCTTACCTGACGCTTGCTTCTTTTCACCCTCAAATAGATCAGATGAGCTAATAGATGAACTTCCAGCAAATCGTTCCAGTCGAGTTTTGGCTTCATACTGGCAGATAAAACATCCCAACACTTAAAAAATGCTTTACAGGCATTAAGTTTAACAACTATCAACAACATTACTTAATACAAATTAGGTTTAGTGTAAAAGAGAATTATAAAATATTTTATAAATAGATAATCCTATTTAAAATCTCTTGGAAAGAAAAGTATTAGTTATCAAAATAATTGCCATTTTTCCAAAGGATAGTCTAATAGAATAATAGAAGAGTTTGTTGGAGACTGAGTTTGTAATTCCACTTTCCAAACCATACTGGAGCAAAAACCGAGGAGGAGAGGGATCCAAATCATCTGACGGTTTTAGCTTTAAGTTCTTCAGGCACAAGACAATCAATTGGACACATTCTGTACACTTGCGAAAATCTCAACCTTTGAAGATTATTTCAATTTGCCCCATCAGGCCTCCACATGGCTTAAGTGGAACCAACAAATTCAGTTTGAATGAGTAACAAGTAGTTTTGCGTTTTGGGCTCCAGCTGCTGCAACTCATTTTCTGCAACATCTTTGCGTTTGGCAAAGAACAAACCTCAGAGTATTTGTGTGCATTTCTGAGAGGAGATTCTGCTCAGGGCTCTCTCAAAATTGTGGAAGTGTACTTCCATTCTGACTGTTCTTTTGTAGTGCAGAACTGTCAGAGGAAAGTAAATTATGCCCTCCTGTCACAGCAGTCAGCTATTGTACTCTGAAACTTACAGATCCTGACAGCCACCTTGAAACTGGCTGCAAAGGGTAGGTCTGTAAGGCAAGTAGGACAGTAGGACGATGGGAAGTTAGGGTGCCAGACGGAGAGGGGTCAGGGTGCCAACTAAGTAGAATGTCAGACAGGCAGAATGCTTTCTAAGGAGATAGGATGCTAAGTGGGTAGGGTGCAGGTAACAAGATGGCAAGGCGGGGAGGTCAGTTACAGGTAAGTGATGTTGTGTTTACGGTAGGTTGGAGTTGGGATCGGTTGGGTGGGAGAAATGGGGTCGGGGAAGGGCGGGTGGGACGGGTCTAGGGTAGTTGTCGGGTCTGGGTGGGATCCGGTCTGGCAGCACAGGTTTGGGGTCAGGATGTGTTCAGGGTGGGGTGTTGTGGTGGTGGTGGTGGTGGTGGTGGTGGTGGTGGTGGTGGTGGTAGTAGTAGTAGTAGTAGTAGGGGATAGTGGACTGGCAGGAGAGTGGAAGGGTTGGGTTGGGTCCAATGGCAGAAGCGTGGGTGGTCAGGTCCAGGGTGGGGGAATTGTATCAGGGGTTGTGTTAGGTAAAAATGAGAGCTCTTTTTAATAGTTACTCAGGGAGTTAGAACATGAACTTAATCTAACTTTTCCTGAGTAAATGTTTCACTTAATTTTTATCAGAAGCATCTGAAGTCTCTGATTTTAATGGAGCTTTCAGGAGTATCCTAGTGGAGATGAACTGTCCAACAGAAAATTCAATTTCCCAGACAACGTCTGTGGTGTATGCTATGATAGGGATTCCACAGGGTCATCAGGCAAAATTCTCCTTTATGTTTGAATTACAACTGTCTGGTCTACAGTAATGTTCTTTTCAAAAGACAAAGGGAAAAACTTAATTATTTATGATATGTGGCAAAACTGTTACATAAATATTACATATCAAGTCAGTCAATGGAAGGCAAAGTTTTGTTTATTAATGTCCCTACTGACACTGATAATGATCTCCATTTGAGGTACAGCAACCAATCTTGTGTTGAACATGCCTGTACATGTCTTAGAATATATGACTACACACAGTTCACAACAGGTTTCAGCCCAATTTCATTACTAAGAAATGGATTAACTGGTTTGATTTGTTCTGCATTGTTGAAATCTGTTTTGACAGACAGAGAAATGTTATTGTTTTATATTGCTAATCCTAAAGGCCACATGCACATGAATAGTTACCCAGGTAACTCAAAAGATCATAACTATTCAGAAAATATCGTGAAACATTCACCTCTGCAGAATCCTGTTTTCCGAAATACATATCTGAAGAAATGGCTTTGACATTCCCAAATTTCTTCTGTGCATCCTCGGAGACTACTACATAGTCCAATTCTGGTTTACGACGTGCAGGCCTGGAAAGATAACACCAATGTTAAAACGAGCATTGATCAGCATTAGAATCATTGACTCAAAAGTGGCTGTCGATTTTACTTTAGCATTGTAAAGTGAGTGCGAATAATGTAGTACAGAATTACAGTCAAACATTAAAGGAGCAAATAATTTGCTGCAAATACAATGCAAAAATAACCCTATGAAATATAATAAATGTAGAGGCAAAGAACAAGAGCTAAGTCTAGGCTCAGTGTAACATAGATTTGTTTTAAGTTCAGCACCAAACATGCAAAGTTAAGAGAAAAAATATGATTTAAAATTAATTGGTTGAAAATATGCAGTCATATACTCAGTAATAAAAGGTATAAAAGCAAGTATTATACCTGTCATTTAGTGATATTTTTGAAGTAAATATGTCCTTCTCTCTGCTGTTGCTTTCTGTTTTCCAAAAGGAATCACTGTTGTCATCCCATTTTGAATATGTACCTCCCATATCCAGTGGATCATCAAAATATCTAGAGTTTGAAAGGAGAAAATGGGAATTTTAGTCTTTCAAAATATTTAATCTTCCAATATAGATGTGAACAGATCGGATCCTGGATGCATAAACTGATAGGTATGGGTGGTGCAACCCATATCTATCCCCCAGTTATTTCCCCATATCGGTATTTAAATGTAGCCAGCGTCAGCAACTGCTGTATATTAAAGAGTGTCAGCGTAACAACAAAATACCACTTTTCAAAAATGCACTAATATACAAAATAAATTTCAGAACAGTGTCTGGTTGAAAGATATCTTTTTCCCCAACAACCAGGTGTAATAATCATCATGGAAACCACATAAACTGAGTTGACATCATTATCAGTGATCATGATCAACTATGTATTAAAGCTATGGACTAAATCTTATAATATGGTAAGCAACAAATGAGTCAACATAAGCCACTAATGTGATAGAAGTGAAGCCCAACATGGCTCTGCACCTCCTCTTGACAATTCTGCACTCTCTGACAATGCTCACATTTGGGGCGCATTTTCCATTGAAGAGTTGTAGCCCAAACATAGTTATTGAGCTGAGACTAGAAGACCCAAAGGTTCCAGTGGCTAAAGATAACTGGCCTGTTTAAACTGTAGTTGCTGTCTTGTTAACCTTTTACAGCCCTTCAATCTTTCAATATAGCTGCACTCCTTCAATTCTGGCTTCCTGCACATCACTACTGGTAGCTGTGGCTCTCACTGCCTCAGCCCTGAACTCTTCCGAAGGTCTCCAATTCTTTACGTCACTTTCATCCTTACAACACATACTACTACTTCTTTGAATAAACCTTTGGACATCTGCCGTAATAACTTATATTGGTATCATATGTTGTTTCACAATACTTCTGCAATATGCATAAATGTGTTTTAGTTGAGTGGAAGTGTTACATAAATAGATGGTATTGAAGAATCGTATTTCAGCAGGATACTAATACATTTGTATTTAAGTTTGTTGACATGGATTCAGTAAGTTTTATAAAATTATTACATTTTAATACAAATGCGACAACCAAGATAAAAATAATTATGGAAATTACTCCTGGTAACTAATTGTACTGACATTGCAAATGAATGTATAAATGATCTATTCTTCATTTCACAATTTCCAAATTGTTTACACAGTACTGATTAAACAAATAATTCCACTCAGGTACCTCAGAATACTCTTTAGTACTACTACTTCTAAAAATCACAGATTCACAGAATTGCGAAGACACAGGAGGCAGCCATCTGGCCCATCAGTGCCTGCACTAGCTCTATTACTTATAGAGGCAATGCAGGAGAAAAGGCTCACAGAACTGAATTTCATATTTGTAAGCCCAAGTTGAACAAAAGCCTGGTTTACTGAAAACACCACCAAACAAAAAAAACCCAAAACCTACAGAAAAGGCATCTGGTCCATACAGGGCAAAGATCAGGTAAAGTCCCCAACTCACTCTACACTACATTCAGTGGCAGGCACAACACAACACAACAATTAACACTTGCTGTTCTTGGGTTAGTATGACAATTTTTCAATACTTGCCATGCATCACTAGAAGTCTTATAATGTTTTACCAAGAATAATCCACCAACATTCAAAAGCAAAGTATGCACTTAAAAATTCGGTTCCATATTAATTTATGCAAATTGTTTCCTTCAAATCAAAGTTACACAAAACATCATTGTTCTTATATGTAAAAGGAGCATGTCACTAGTATTCCATAAGCCCAGAGGCTGGCCATTAAAGGTGATGAGGGCAAATGTATTTGGACCAATAGGAGAGAGTGGTAAATTACATTGTAAATGCTACAAATGACCGAAAATGATTGCATTAACATTTTACTTTACAGGTTTTGGCTTTTATCTAGTTTTTCCACTTGATTTTGCTTCAGGACAACAGGTATTTATTGTAATGTCACATCTCACAGTTAAATTACTTTAGGAGACATGTGCATAATAACGTCACATGCCATATGCAGTGATCTAAGGGCATAAAAATCTCATACTTCATCTTACCTTGGATTACTTGAAGCATGACATTCTACTGGTAGAATACTCCTCTGTTGTAATGTAATAGCTTAATGTTAGCCACAAAGAATGTAATACTTGTACATGTCTGCTAGATTCTTCAATACCCCAATGTTCATACCTCGTTTTTTTTATGTTATGTTAGATAACATAAGCATTGCTGCATTGTGTAAAAATACTTTTTTTGGTGACAAACACACACCATTTCCCAGGTTTTGGTTTTACTCTTGCTTTTCTCTTCATTTTGATTCAGAGTCAGGTGTTGTTCATAGCTCTACCATTTACACTTCCTCTTTTGTTTCTTTACGTGTCCCATTATCACTTCCTTTGGTCTTGGACCACCAAATCTTGCATTTGATTTCTCCAGTCTTTCAGGTTCTCACCAGTCTGCATTTTTGTTTCCCTCTCCCCTACCCAGGTCCACCCCAGACTCCCACATATCCGTTTGCTTACAAAAATAAGAAATGTAATACATTGTCAGTACAAATGAAAAGTCATGACCTGAAATGTTAATTCTGATGCCCCCCGATCTGCTGAGTATCTTCAGCATTTTCAGACTTCATTCCAGATTTTCAGCATCTGTAGTATTTTATCTTTTTAACTTGTCTTTATTTCAAAAAAAAAGTAATTGGAGTGGCACATCATCAGTTGTAACCAAAATCCAGTGATAACTGCCCACTCAGTTCCAGCTAACGTACCAAAAAGGTAATTATCACAACTGACATCCAGAGACTCAAGTTGGCAGGATAGATATAGAAGGGTGCAAGACACCATTGCATGAAAATAAAACTATGAATATAACTGGCTTGCTGACTGAAGAATTCATTTCTTTCCTGAACAGCAAATTCTTTTATATTCATCTTGGTTTCTCTACCATCCCTGCATCATGAACTACACAGCCAAAGAGAAGTGGATGGACCACCAGATTAATGCTACTCCAAACCATGAGCTGCCAAATCATGGAATTGGGCAGCTCTTACCCAAGAACTGATCTTTGCTGCTGACAGATCTCTCTCAGACTGACATGAGCAAATATGTGGCAAAAGTTTTTTCCTGACGTTTTCTCAACAAAATCATTTTATAAACCTCAGAGATAAGAATTTTTTTTGGTTGTTCAATGATGAAAATGTTCCAATGCTCAAGGGGAACAAAATTATAAAACTATTGAATTATACAGGATAATCTTTTGGATCCATTCAATGATTCACAGTACTGCTAAAACACTTAAATCCTTGACTGCGTTCATAATGAAATAACCAGCAGCAGCCCTAACACTTTAAAATCTTATCTTTCTGGTTACCGAATGATCTTTCCCCCACACAATATAACCTTACACTCTTCTTCAAGATCGAGCATAGGAGGATACGATGATTACCTGGAATGAGTAGTAGTAAAAGTAAGCTCTTCATCTTCATCATACTTTCTCCTGGAAGATTTTGCAATAGTGGGTGTCTCCTGTTCTATAGTTTGCATATCTGATAATACAGAATGGGAAACTCCCCTACAAGGAATGAGTGAGAAAAAGCAGAACATAAGATAGCACAACACAAAGCTATGCTTAATTGCATTTAGCATCTTATTGACAAGAACTGATGGGTAAACTCAAAAATGTAAAAAAAAATTAACAGCCAGATTTAGACAAAAGCTTTTTGCAACATAAATGAAATATCTTGCAACGAAAGCCTTCCCCATCACCATGTTCAGCATAAGAGTTCAGGCAATTGGAAAATTTTAACACACACTACGCAATCACCACATACAAACCCAAGAACAAAGGAAGTTTTGAGGCAATTGTGGATGGAGCAGAGTGGCTAGACGTAATACAATGTTTTTTAAAAAAATATTTGATACTACTTAAACATCAAAATAGATGGTAACATTAAAGGAATTACATAATTAAAGTTGGTTCAACGATGAGTTTCGCTACAGCAAAGGCCGAGAGGCGTAAAAGTCACGTACCACAGATCTCTAACAGCTGAAAGTGTAATTATAACTCAACATATTTACACTGGCAACTTCCGATATAATTATTAATATAAATGTAGATGGAACAAAAGTGATATAAATGTATAACAAGATAAAGAAAATTACAAACATTACATACAAAGATACCATTCTGGGCCACTTTGCCAAGGGAAATTACATTATATATCCTTGCAGCCAGTCCAGCCCTATCAGAATGTTATATATTTCAGTGAGATTCCCTCTCGTTCTTCTAAACTCCAGTGAATACAGGTCCAATTGACCCAATCTCTCCTTAGACCACAGATCTGCCATCCCAGGAATCAGTCTGGTTAACTTCACTCCACTCCCTCGTTGGCAAAGGTATCTCTTCTTATGTAAGGAGATAAGAACTGCACACAATACTCCAGGAGTGGACTCATGGAGGGCCTATACCCCAGCAGTAAGAATTCTTTGCTTTTGTTCTCAAACTCCCTTGCAATGTAGCCAACATCCTATATGCCTTCCTAAACAACTTGTTGCACCTTTAGGCTTACTTTCAATGACTGGTGTACAAGGATGCCTGGGATCCTCTGTATATATCAACCTATCCCAATCTATCATTTAAATAATGCTCTACTTTTCAAACTTTCCTATCAAAGTGGACAACTTCATATTTGTTCGCATTATACTGAATCTCCCAATGGTTGTCCACTCACTCAACGTTCCTTCTAAGCCACACAACAGCTCCGAGGGTCCGTGCATACTGATCATCATGCTAATTCACTCACTGTCTTCAGCTGCTGCTGCATACAGAGGTGTGTTCGGCAGCTGGAAAATTGGAAGGAACGCAAAACTAAATTTGTCTAAATTACCCTGAAACCTCTATGTCTTCCTCGCCACTCTGCCTAATCTTTGTGTCATCAGCAAACTTGGAAATATTACATTTGAGTTCTTTATCCATTTTGTTGATATATATTGTGAACATCTGAAATATATGGCTAAAACAAAACTGCAAAAATATGTGAGTTATTAGTCTAGAGGACTGTTAGGTAAAACAAAAGATTTTACAATTAGGCATCTTTCAGCAAGTGTGAAGAAAAATACCTACTCCATGTCAATTAATAAGAATGTATAAAATATGAGCAAGGGTTAGTCATGTGGCTCTTCGGGCCCGCTCTGCCATTCAAAATAATAATAGCAGATTAAAAACATAGTGTCTCACCTTATTTGAAAATCAACTTGTAGAATGAAATATGAAATACTGGTAGGCTGGTCCAGAAGATTTAAGTTACATGGTACCCACAGTGAGTTGGTAAGTTGGATACAAAATTGGCTTGGTCATGGAAGGCACAGAGTCGTTGTGGAGGGGTGTTTTTCTGACTGGAGGTCTGTGACTAGTGGTATTCTGCAAGGATCAGTCCTGGGACCTCTTGTTTGAAATTTATATAAATGATTTCGATGAAAATAAAGGTGGACTGATTAGTAAGCTTGCAGATGACAAGAAAGTTGCAGATAGTGAGGAAGGTTGTCAAAGGATACAGATCAGCTGAAAAGTTAGACAGAGAAATGGTAGATCGAGTTTAATCCAGACAAGTGTGAAGCGATACATTTTGGGAGGTAAAATGCAAGATGAAAACATACTATAAATGGCAGAACTCTTTGGAGCACTGATGTGCAGAGAGATCTTGCGTTGCAAGTCCATAGCTTTCAAAGTGGCAACATAAGTGGATAAAGTGTTAAAAAAGGCATGCCTGCCTTCATCAGTTGGGGCACAGAGTATAAAATTTGGCAAGTCATGTTGCAGCTGCAGTAAACTTGTAGTTAGACCGCATTTGGAGTACTGAGTGTAGTTCTGGACCCCACACTACAGGAAGGGTATGGACGTTTATTAGCAATATGGAGGGGCTGGACAAACGTGGATTGTTTAGGTTAGAGAGTGAAAGGTTGAGGGGTAACCTGAAAGTAGTATATAAAATTATGAGGGGCCTGGATAGGGTGGATAGTGGAATCTTTTTCCCGGGATGGAAATTTCAAATACTGGGGGCATATGTTTAATGTGGGAGGGCGAATTTTTTTTTCTATTCATTTCGTGGGATGTGGGCATCGCTGGCTGGCAAGCATTTCTTGCCCATCCCTGGTTGCCCTTGAGACGGTGTTGGTGAGCTGCCTTCTTAAACCGCTGCATTCCTCCTGCTGTAGCTTGACCCACAATGCTATTAGGAAAGGAATTCCAGGATTTTGACCCAGCAACAGTGAAGGAATGGCAATATATTTCCAAATCAGGATGGTGAGTGACTTGGAAAGGAACTTGGAGGTGGTGGTGTTCCCATATATCTGCTGCCCTCGTCCTTCTAGATGGAAGCGGTCTTGGGTTTGGAGGGTGCTGTCTAAGGATCTTTGGTGAATTTCTGCAGTGCATCTTGTAGATAGTACACACTGCTGCTACTAAGCGTCGGTGGTGGAGGGAGTGAATGCTTGTGGGTGTAGTGCCAATCAAGCGGGCTACTTTGTCCTGGATGGTGTCAAGCTTCTCGAGTGTTGTTGGGGCTGCACTCATCCAGGCAAGTGGGGAGCATTCCATCACACTCCTGACTTGTGCCTTGTAGATGGTGGACAGACTTTGAGGAGTCCGGAGATGAGTTACTCGCTGCAGTATTCCCAGCTTCTGGCCTGCTCTTGTAGCCACTCTGTTAATGTGCAAGTCCAGTTGAGTTTCAGGTCAATGGTAACCCCCAGGATGTTGATAGTGGGGGATTCAGTGATGGTAACACCATTGAATGTCAAGGGATGGTGGTTAGTTTGTCTCTTATTGGTGATGGTCATAGCCTGGCATTTGTGTGGCACGAATGTCACTTGCCACTTGTCAGCCCAGGTTTAAAAGGAGATGGTGCAAGAAAAGTTTTTTTTTAAGCAGAGAGTTGTAGATGTCTGGAATGCAGAGCCAGGAGAGTTGGTAGAAGCAGATATGATAGCAACATTCAACAAGCATTTAGACAGACACACGAACAGGCAGGAAATAGAAGGATACAGACCATGTGCAGGCAGATAGGATTAGTTTAGAATGACATCATGGTTTGCACAGACATGATGGGCCAAAGGGCCTGTTCCCTTGCTGTATGATTTTATGTTTTATATTCGAAGACATTTATTGAAGCTTAGATTTTAGAATCTCTGGTCGTAGTCTTATGTACTTGTTATAGTGGGAATAAGGTGGTTTTACTCAAGGCTAGATAATGCTTGGGAGCAAGGCAATAATTAGTTATTTCTATTTACAAATTCTCATTGCTTGCTATTTTAGTTCTTACCTATCTGAAGCATTATTATTGCTAACTTGGATGGGCAAAGAAGTGCAATCAAGTTTCTATTATCCTTAGATCTTGCATTGCAAGGCATATGCAATTAACCGAATACAATGCAAACTTGGTCTTGTCCTAAGATCTTCCATCTCCATGAGAAAAACCCACCTCTCTTAGCTCAATGGCAGAAGTTACAATTTTCCATGTATGTCCACATTCTATTCAAAGTGATTCAGTACAAACTTGCTTCATGCGTTCTCCGCCCAGATGTGGGTCTGAGCCACCGCAACCATAACCAGCAACACATAAAAGGGAAGAAGGTTCCAAATCCAGCCCAGCTGGAATGGGGATCAAAACCTTTGCTGTTGCCATCAGTCTGATCCATGCCAGGTGTCAAGCCAATTAAGCCACAAGGAGTCAGAGTTGCTGTGGCAACATTTGCTATTATACATATGCACATTCTACTCTGGAATTATGGCAGAGGCTCTAATTTCTTTCCATCATAAGGCTGATTAGGAATAACTCCCACTCATAACACCTGCCACTGGTGTGTGCTGAAAGGATTTAGAAGCTTATTCTCAACCAGTTTGGCCATGTTATGAATGCATATTCTTAGACAAATCGAAATCCTCAAGTGGAACATGGACTCAGAGCTTCTGGCTTAACAGGTAGGGATGTTACCCACTGCACTGCAAGACCTCCTACAAACTTACTATGCCATTTAGTTTAAAACGTTCTTCCCAATTTGCTACTTTTTGTCTCCATCCTCCCAAGTAAGCTGTGATATAGTAAAAAGGTACTTACGCTCTGCTACTGAAGCCCATGCCCAGTCGCTCTGCTTGCTCTTTCTTCTTGCCTTCCAACCTGTTCAATTTCTCATCTTCTTTCTTTCTTTGTATTTCCAAGTCTTGGTATGCAAGTCGAAGAGATGAAACACTGTAATGTAACATTTCTTTGCTTACATTTTAAACTTTGAAAACATGATCATCCAACTCAACAATTAAGAATCTATTTCAATGCAACAGCAAAACCCACAAAATTATACTAAATTTTATGATGAAAGTTATACAACATATGCAAGCTACTTGGCCTCAAAAAAGTAACAGCACATTCAAAAACTGTAATTGAGAGATGGCTTTATGGTGTTACTTCTTTGAAAGAAAGACTAAAATAGTCTTAATATTGCCTTTAGTCAAGCAAAATTCTGATGCAATATGACAACTCAAATATTCCAACATCTGAAACCAGCAGAGATGAGATGCAAATAGGGTAAGAATCCTGTGGAAGTCCTGGCTTTTACTCTGACAAGGAAGTTGTCTAAACTTCCAAAGGTCTGATTTGCCCTTCCTGGAACCTTCCATGAAGCTTACTGTCACAGACTTGTGGGATTTAACTTGCCCTGGAAACATTTTCCTTCTTAGCACCTGGTCTCAGTAATTCAGAGTGTAATACAACAGATTACCATAACTCTTGACAGAGTTAAGAAATTCTCCACATCCCAGTCTTAAATTGGCAGCCCTTTATTCTGAGACCATGCCATCTTATCCTAGACTCTCCCATGAGAGGAAACATTCTCTCAGCATTTACCTTGTGAAGCTCTCCCTTGACAGCCAGACTGCCTCCCCGGCCATCCAATAACATCCCAACACATACAGGAGGCAGGGAAGTAGAAAGGGTCAGCATATTTCTGCTGTATTTTAAACATTTTTTTTTTAAAAAAGTGACTTCATTATGAACTTAAACAACATAGCAATATACAGCATTTGAATGTACAGTGCATAATGTTGTAGCTTTTTTTCTGGCTATGCATATGGATCCTAACTAAAGTTTTAACTTGTTTAGAATGGAAAAAAAATCTGATTTAGTTAACATATATTAATTTAAAAACTGCACTTTTCAGGAATACAACTTCAATGTTTCGTCAAGAAGTACTGCATAAAGTAATACACAGTCAGTCTCACTGCATAGAACCCACAATTTTGTATGCTGAAGATATGGAGTAATTAGACTCATATCTGTGAATTTATAATGAGTTACTGAATAATGTTCCAATTTCAATCTTTGTTTGATCACTTGACTAGTGAATGGAACACATATCCTTTCAGATGTTAGATTATCAATTTTACTATGCTGTTCATACTGGAAGATACTTGTCGTCCCTTATTTCAGGGAGTAGGGGAGTCTTATTACAACTGTACAAGGTATTGTGGAGGCCACATCCGAAGTACTATGAGCAGTTTTGGTTCCATTATTTAAGGAATGATATCATTTCATTAGAGGTAGTTCAGAGATGGTTCACTAGAATGATCCCTGGTATGGAAGCACTGTCTTAGGAGTAAAGGCTAAACAGGTTGGGACTCTGCTCACTAGATTTAGTAGAATGAGAGTTGATCTCATTGAAACATATAGGATTCTTAAAGAGCTTCACAAGGTAAATGCTGAGAGAATGTTTCCTCTCATGGGAGAGTCTAGGATAAGATGGCATGGTCTCAGAATAAAGGGCTGCCAATTTAAGACTGGGATGTGGAGAATTTCTTCCAAGAGTTGTGTCTTTGGAACTCCTTACTGCAGACAGCTGTGGGGACTGTACAACTGTATAAATTTAAGGCTGTGATAGAGTGATTCTTGATTGGTACAGGTATCAAGGGTTACGGGGAAAGGATAGGAAAGTGGACATGAGGAATGTTGAATCAGTCACGATCCTACTGAACAGCAGAGCAGATTAAAGGAGGCAAAAGCCCTATACCCATTCCTATATCTTATGTTGTTATATATCTAAAAACACAACAGAAGCTCAGTGAAGAATTATGAAGATATGCACCTTCACATTACTGACTTGACGAAGAGCTTTGAAATAGATTGATACGCTGATGAATGCTTATACGCTTATTGTACAAAAAAAAAAAAGAGGAAATCTGATTCTTTCCAAAACCTTCATATTCTTTCTGGTGCTGCAACACCTCTAAAGTGGAAGAGTGATCAGAAAACCTACTCCATTATTACATTTTTCACCATGATTGACATTTTTATTGAATTGACAATGTTGATCATACCTTTGGCTCAAATATTAACAATTTAAAATCTTTTGTGCTTTTCTCCCAAAAGTTTAGTTATACTAATTTTATACACCTCAATAAATCACCTCAACCCCTCTTGTTGCAAAGAAAACAACCTCAGCTTATACCAACGATACCTCATTATCTACATTCTCCACTCATGGCAGCATCCATTGTGAAGCTCCTTTCTTGCTTCTCTAGTGCAACCAGGCTGTGGCTTAACTACCATTTGTACTGTTCTAGCATTACCTCTGTGTGTTTATAACCCATACCCCAACTAATAAAGTAACCTGTATGCCTTTTTAATCACCTTATCTACCTCTGCTGTTATCTTCAATGATCTCAGTTAGTGTTTTACGCTGCCCTTGGTGCTTTTGTCAGTTTGGTATTCCAAGTGTTTGGCATTTGGGTCATCATGAGAAAAGGGAATCCTGTGAATGTATCTTTTTAGGAGGCCAAATTTAGTCCCTCTGACTGCTTTCCTTACAGTTCTGTAATTAATTTCAGAATCAAGTATTTACCTATTTTCTATTAATACATTTCACAAAGGATTATGTGCTCCTGCCTCTTTAAAATTTCTTAGTATTCTACCATTTATTGTGCATTTCCTTATCTTGCTTCACCTCCCCAAATACATTACTCCACAACTCTCCGGACTGAACTCCATTTGCCACTTCTCTGCTTATCTGGTCAGTCAATTAATAGTTTCTTGCATCTACAACATCTTTCCTATCAACAATGCAACTGGTTTAGTGCAGTTATATTTAAATGACAAAGTGTTTGAATATTTGGGAACAGAGAAGGACTTCACATCTGAATACCATGGAAAGTGCAAGGGCCTACTGAATGCAAATTGTTACAAAGAAAATGAAGATTCAGTTCATGAGAAAATTCTTAAAGAGGCAGGAGCAGATAATCCTCTGTGAAATGTATTAATAGAAAATAGGTAAATACTTGATTATGAAATTAATTACAGAACTGTAAGGAAAGCAGTCAGAGGGACTAAATTTGGCCTCATAAAAAGATACATTCACAGGATTCCCTTTTCTCATGATGACCCAAATGCCAAACACTTGGAATACCAAACTGACAAAAGCACCAAGGGCAGCGTAAAACACTAAATTGTTCTGATGTAAAGCTAAAACAAACTAGAGTAGAGTAATGTGTTTCTGGAAAACTAACAGCAAATTATGTTAGGGCTCCTGTTATGAGCATGTCCTCGTAACAAATTTGATAGGAATATTTCAGTTTTCACTCTTTCACCTGTAACATAAAGTACTGCTATTATTTTAAAATATAGCTTCATTTTAATGCTCAATACTCAAAATAGCATTTGTTTACACATTAAGTTGTTGAAATAAGTTGCAACAAAAAATCATGAGGAGTTACAACACAGAATACTGCAAACGTTTACATTCTGAATTCTCATTTCAATGACCTTTTCAGAGACTCAAATGCTTTTGCAAATTAAAGATTCAAATATCCATTTAGTCCTTTTCTTGTCTAGTTTAAATCAGAACAAGGCTTGTTTTTTAAGCATACAAACATTAATGGACAAGAAATGATACACTGGTCCATTTGCATTAAACTGTGCTGGAGCTAATGTTCTTGCAAGTCACATAACTAGGGCAGGATTTTAAATTAAGCAGTGGGGTCAAGGGATCAAACATGGAAAGATGTGGTATATCAAAGAGTAGCGACAAAGTAAGAGGGGAAAACAGTAATATGGGAAAGGAGGACAAAAAGAGGAAAAAGCTAGGAATATCAACAAGTCAAGATTAGCTGTTATAAAGATGATAAAAAAAGACAAAAACCAAAAGCTCTGTACTAGGGTGCGCATAGAATGCAGAACAAAGTAGACATATTGATTATCTACACCAATGTGCACTATCATTACAGAGACATGGCTGCAGGATAACAACTTTGGGTCCTGAGTATTGAAGATTATGAGACACTCAAGAACCGGAAGCCAAGTAAAAGGTGGCAGGTAACACTGTTAATCAAAGATGGCATTTGTGCAACAGTTAGAGATGACTTAGGTTTATGAAAACAGGATGTAGATTCAATTTGAGTGGGGGTATGGAATACTAGGGAAAAGAAATCACTAGTGACGGTGTGGTTGACAGGCTCCCTACCAGTTAACAATGCTAACAAGTCTAGAAGAAACAACAGCGGATGCTTGTGGTTATTGCTGGGCCTTTACCATGGATGACTTTAATCTACATATTATGGGAAGGACATCAGAGGTGCCTTTACTCTATCTAGAAGGATATTTGTTATGGTAAGAGGGCAGTAAGTGGAACTGAGACCACAAAAAGATCAACCACGATCCTCCTGAATGGTGGAGCAAGCTCGAAGGGCCAAATGACCTACTCCTGATTCTTATGTTCTAATTAGTAAGCTTGGAGAGGCTTCAGAATAGATTTACCAGGATGTTGCCAGGAACGGAGTGTTGCAAGTATAAAAATAGGCTGGATAGGCTCAGACCTTTTTGACTGGAGTGTAGGAGGTTGAGGGGTGACCTTAGGTTTACAAAATCATGAGTTACATAGATAAGGTGAATAGCAAGGCTCTTTTCCCTAGTGTGGCGGAGTTCCAAACTTTTGGCGGGGGGGTATATTTTTAGGGTGAGAGGAGAAAGTTTTAAAAAGGATATGAGGGCAACTGTTTTCTACAGAGGAGTTCATGCGTGGAATGAACTGCCAGGAGATGTGGTAGATGTAAGTACAGTTACAACATTTAGAAGGCATTTGACAAGTACGAGGGATATGAGCCAGGCCCAGGCAAGGGGGGCTAGTTTAGTTTGGGAATGTGGTCAGCATGGACTAGTTGGACCAAAGGGTCTGTTTCCATACTGTATGACACTATGAACTACTACAGAGCAGGTTATACTACACTTCATACTGTGTAATGAGATAGGATTGATTAATGACCACAGGGTAAAGGCACATTTAGGTAGCAGCAACCATAATATTTATGAATTTTATATCCAGTGTGAAAGGGAGAAGAGTGGATCTGAGATTAGTATTATAAGCCTATGTAAGAGCAACTATGTGGGCGTGAAAGCTGAGCTCGGTGAAGTGAACTGGCACACCAGCTACAGGATAGATCAATAGGAGGTGCAGATGTAAATATTTATTGATAAATTTCAGAACGCTCCGTATAAGTATATTCCTACCATATAGAAAAATGATAAGATGAGGCATGACGCCCATAGTTAACTAATGAAATGAAGGAAACATCAAAAGCAATGAAAAAGCATTTAACCATATAAAGACGAGTGAGTCAGATGACTAGTCAAGATATAAAGAACAGCAAAAAATGACTAAAAGGTTAATCCAGAGAAAAATATTAAGTGTATGAAAGAAAACTAGGTAGGAATGTAAAAACGGATAGCAAGAGTTTCAGCAGGTACTTAAAAAGGAAAAAGTAAAAAGTGAGGGTTGTTTCACTAGGTAGTGTGAAGGGGGGGGATGATAATTAAGGGGGGATGAAATGACAAAATATTTTGATTCTTTCTTCACTATTCAAGAAAAATGTTCCAGTCATGGTTATAATCCAAGAGGTGAGAGAGGCACTTAGTGAAATTATGATCATGTGGGAAGCAATTCTAAGCAAACTGGTCATCCTAAATTCTTCCAAGAGGTTGCTGATGAGGTAGTGGATCTGTAATTTTCCAAAACTCCCTAAATTCAGGAAAGGTTCTATCGGACTGAAAGATAGCAAACTTAAATGTTCTATTCAATAAAAGGGAGAAAGACAGAAAACAGGAAACAATGCCTGCTGTGGGGAAAGTATTAGAACTGATCATTAAAGAGATTATAACTGCACACTTAGCAAATCCCAAGGTAACTGGGATAAGGCAGCATGGTGGTGTCAAAGAAAAATCACACGTAACCAGTTTACTGGAGTTCTTTGAAGAAATAACATGCACTGTGGATAAACGGGAGCTTCCAGACCTACAAAATTAGGATTTCCAGAAGGCATTTCATAAGGTGCCACATCAAAGGTTATTGAAGAAAATAAAAGCTCGTGGTATAGTGGGTAACATATTAGCCACTATACAATGAGTCTGACTGGCAGGATGTGATGAGTGGAGCCCTACAGGGGTTTGTGCTGCGGCCTCAACTTCTTATAATTCACTTGAACAATTTCAATGAGGGGAGTGAAGACATGGTATCTAAATTTGCAGAGACGTCAAGGTAAGTTGTAAACTATGTCATAAAGGAGACGCAAGGAGGTTGCAGGCAGATTATAGATAGGTTAAGTGAGTGGGCAAAAACTGGCAGAAGAAGCATAACCTCAGAAAATATAGCAGGATGAAAGAAAATGCAGAGAATTACTTAAATTGGGCAGCTGCAGGGATTTGGGTTTTCTGGTGCATGAGCCACAAATGGAATGCTGTTGTATATGAGACTAATGGAACAGAAAAGGATGGTATGTTTCAGTTATACTTTTTTAAAATTCATTTACAGGATGAGGGCGTCACTGGCTAGGCCAGCATTTATTGCCCATCCCTAATTACCCAAAGGGCAGTTATGAGTCAATCACATTGCTGTGGGTCTGGAGTCACATGTAGGCCAGACCAGGTAAGGACGGCAAATTTCCTTCCCTAAAAGACATTAGTGAACCATATGGGTTTTTCCGACAATCGGCAATAGATTCATGGTCATGGTTAGATTCTTAATTCCAGATATTTATTGAATTCAAATTCCCACCATCTGCTGTGGCAGGATGAACCAAGGTCCCCAGAACATTACCTGGGTCTCTGGATTGACAGACCAGCGATAGTATCACTAGCCAACTGCCTCTGCGACACACGGCATTGGTTAGAGGAAATCTCAAATATTGCGTGCGTATTTGGTCTCCTTATTTAAGGAACATTGTAGATTAATTGGTTGCAGTTCAGAGGTTTACTAGATTGTTCACTGGAATGAGTGGGTTACGAAGACAGTTGAACATGCTGGTTCGCTTAGCTGAACTTGTCCTCACCCCCAACAACTTCTCTTGCAATTCCTCCCACTTCCTACAGACAAAGGGGGTGGCCATGGGTACCCGCATGGGCCCAAGCTATGCCTGCCTCTTTGTAGGTTATGTGGAACAATCCCTCTTCTGTAGCTACACTGGACCTAAACCCCACCTCTTCCTCCGTTACATTGATGACTGTACCGGCGCCGTCTCGTGCTCCCACGAGGAGCTCGAACAGTTCATCCACTTCACCAACACCTTCCACCCCAACCTTAAGTTCACCTGGACCATCTCTAATACCTCTCTCTCCTTCCTGGACCTCTCTGTCTCCATCTCTGGCAACCACCTAGAAACCAATATCCATTTCAAGCCCACTGACTCCCACAGCTACCTAGAATACACCTCCTCCCACCCACCTTCCTGCAAAAAATACCATCCCCTATTCCCAATTCCTTCACCTGCGCCACATCTGCTCCAGGATGAGGCATTCCACTCCTGTACATCTCAGATGTCCTCATTTTTCAAGGACCGCAACTTCCCCACCTCAGTGCTCGAGAATGCCCTCGACCGTGTCTCCCGCATTTCCCGCAACTCATCCCTCACACCCCCTCCCCGCAATAACAACCAAATCAATCAGAATCCCCCTCATCGTCACGTACCACCCCACCAACCTCCGGATCCAACGCATCATCCTCCGACACTTCCGCCATCTGCAATCCGACCCCACCACCAAAGACATTTTTCCCTCCCCACCCTTATCTGCTTTCCGGAGGGACCACTCTCTCCATGACTCCCTTGTCCGCTCCACACTCCCCTCCAGCCCCACCACACCCGGCACTTTTCCCTGCAACCGCAGGAAGTGCTACACCTGCCCCTACACCTCACCCCTCACCCCCATCCCAGGCCCCAAGAAGACTTTCCACATCAAGCAGATGTTCACCTGCACATCTGCCAATGTGGTATACTGCATCCGCTGTTCCCATTGTGGCCTCCTCTACATCGGGGAAACCAAGCGGAAGCTTGGGGACCGCTTTGCAGAACACCTACGCTCAGTTCGCAACAAACAACTGCACCTCCCAGTCGCGAACCATTTCAACTCCCCCTCCCATTCCTCAGACGACATGTCCATCCTGGGCCTCCTGCGTGCCACAACGATGCCACCCGAAGGTTGCAGGAACAGCAACTGATATTCTGCTTGGGAACCCTGCAGCCCAATGGTATCAATGTGGATTTCACAAGCTTCAAAATCTCCCCTCCCCCTACCGCATCCCAAAACCAGCCCAGCTCGTCCCCGTCTCCCTAACCAGTCCTTCCTCCCACCTATCCCCTCCTCCCACCTCAAGCCCCACCCCCATTTCCTACCTACTAACCTCATCCCGCCCCCTTGACCTGTCCGTCCTCCCTGGACTGACCTACCTCCTCCCTAACTCCCCACCTACACTCACCTTTACTGGCTCCACCCTCGCCTCTTTGACCTGTCTGCCTCCTCTCCACCTATCTTCTCCTCTCCCCATCTTCTATCCGCCTCCCCCTCTCTCCCTATTTATTTCAGAACCCCCTTCCCCTCCCCCATTTCTGAAGAAGGGTCTTGGCCCGAAACGTCAGCCTTCCTGCTCCTTTGATGCTGCTTGGCCTGCTGTGTTCATCCATCTCTACACCTTGTTATCTCTGAACATGCTGGGTGTTCCCTTAAGGTTTGGAAGAGTGAAGTGTGATGTGATTGATATTTGTACAAGATCCTAAGTGGTCTTGACAAAAAGAGACATGGAAAAGTTATTTCCTCTGTGGGTCAGTCCAGACCTTGGGGGCTACTGTTTTAAAAATAGAGATCACCCTTTTAAGACAGAGATGAGAAGAATTTCTCTCGGAGTGTCATTTGACTTTAGATCACTGCCTCAGACGATGATGGGAGTGGAGTCATTAAATATTTTTATAGCAAAAGCATATGGATTTTGTTGCCTGACAAGAATCTCCAGTTATGGGAGGTAGATGGGAACATACAGTTCAAAACAGATCAGCCATGATATTACTGAATGACGAAGCAGACTCAAAGGGCCAAACAGTCTCTGCTACTCATCCTAGTTCATATATTCATTAGAAAAGGAGAGTTACCTCTAAATATCCTGACCATTATTTATCCCTTTATCAAAATCACAGAAAACAAATGATCTAATCATTATCACATTGCTATTTCTGGAAATTCGTTGAGCAACTGTGATTCGTAGAATTCTTTGGGATGTGATACTTTGTGTCATGAATGGAATTTTTAAAAAATCTGTTGCTGAGAAATCATTGTGATATAAAAATCGTATATAGAAAGAAAGTTTACATACATTGATTCTTCTTTCTCAATTTTCTTCTTGTTCAAATCTTCCTGTTCTTTCATTCGGTCTGCAGCCTGAGCCTGTTTATCAATTTCAATGAAGCTGTGGCTAGTTACTTTCTGTGCCCCTAAACCAGCCTTCTTAGCCCCCAACTGTTTAACAAATGGGAAGAACAATTAACTTCTTTTACAATTTATTTCAACAGTAGCATCTCCTATAACTGAACAGTCATCATTTATTTTTCTTTTGGTTGATTTGACTCATAACGGATTTGAATTAGAAACAATTACTGACATAGCAACAAACTTATTTCACGCAAGTACCGTTCAAGAAATTACAAGACTTCATATAAAAGACTCAGTTTTAATGATTCAGCAACACAAATGATTTCTGAAGCCCAAAGTAAAAAGTAAAATATGCACTTAAGTTAGTAGCAACACCATAGAACATTTGTCAGCAAGCAGGAATACAGTTGCATATGGGTCTGCTGAGATATTACTCATGATGTATTAAATGGTAAGTTATTTTAAAACAACAAGTACAATATCATGAAATGAATTGTTCTGACACTTGGGTGCAGATAACCAGAAAGTAGTTCCTCTAAATAGACATCTTGAGGTCCATAGAAGATTCAATACCATTGTAGACAGAATCAATATCGTTGGTGACAGAACCTTGAAAACTGGTAGATGGACCTGAATTATTAGATCCATGTTAGAAGACTGCAGCATTTTCTATTATAGTTATTAATATATCAGAAGTGTGACATTTAAAGCAAGAACAGACAAGGAGTAAACAGAAAATTAGTCAGGGTTCTCAGTTTGGGATTACTAACATATGTTTTTGCTGTAAGTGCATAGTTGGCTGGCTGGTTTACATATATACTTTTCAGTTAAGGGAATAAAGAACAGAATTCTAAGAAGGACACAATAAAGTTGCTCTACTAATCATTCAGCCACGCAACATTGTACAATAGAAATAACTCAAAATACACACCATTTTCTTTCCTGCAGTAGGCTTCTTTTTTGTTATGATAGAGGACTTTACTTCTGTCAAAAAATCCAAATTAGTAGTTACTATATTTTCCAATTCCAGAATTAACTCAATAAATAATGCATTTCACAGAAAACAGATTATGCCAAATTTACTGAGATGATGTTTTGCCATCAGCTATTAAATTCCAAAATGCACCCATGCATAGCAACTTTATCATGTTATGCACAATGTCCAAGGAACAGTGTGTGAATTATAGATTCATAGGTCAATTTTATCACCAATTTATACAATAAAAAAAAACTTATGCAAAAAGAGCATTTTGTGTAAAAGCCTCTTGCACAAGTAATATCAGCGTAACGTGAAAAAAAAGTGCTCAGTTATGAAAATTAAGAGATGCAAATTACTACAGATAAAAATTAAAACAGTAAGCATTTCACTAGTTAGTTTTAAAGGGAAAACAGCATGGGCAATGATAAAAGTGAATTAAGTTAACTCTTTCCAGCCCACTTTAAGAAAGCATTGATCATGACTCTTTCCTAGACCTTTTCTAACTCTGTTGTGCAGGTGAAAAATACATTACAATGATCCAAGTAAGTTAATTATAAACAGTAAAGCATATAGTGAAATGATTATAATATTTACACAAAGGTTGATGAGACACAGCGAACAATAGATTAGAGCTACTGTTCGTGATGTCTTGCTTCTACGCTATTAGCGGTATCAGATATTACTAAATGATGCATGTCAAATGATGCCAGATTAAAGCATTTACTAACTTTGTTCAAATAAGACAAGTAGACATAGCTACATGACTGGAGAAAGATGAGAGGAGAGCAGAGAAATGAGAGAGTGCATAGTTGGGAGGGGGACAAAGAGAAGGAGACAAAGAGAAGGAGAGAACAAATCAAGAAATGGAGACTGCAGGAAAGAGAGAGAAGACAAATGGGGCAAGAAAAGAGAAGTTAACATGAAAGATCAAGACAGGAGAAAGCAAGAAGCAAAAGTCATTGATTCACCTGGATAAATAAATTCTGTAAGTGATGGCTAAAATTATTAAGACAGGAACAAAAAGCAAGCTGGAAAGTGTTAAAGTAACCAGTTGACCCAAAAGCTGTGTTTTTTTTACAAAAAATAGAATTGTAAACAAACTAAGTAAATTAATTTAATGCATTAAATCTATGGTGTTAAAAGTAGCTCTTCACATGTCCATCTGTATACTTTGGCTCAGAACATCGAAGCAGCCAATGGCAGATCACAAACACCTTAACAATCACCTTTGTTAGGTGTGACTCCTGCAGAAACTAAATTCATTGAGTCAGCTAAAATAGGGGGAAAAAAATGAGAATTTCTGAGTAACAGCCAAAAACATTTCTTTACTTCATGTACTGTACTAAGTTCCACATATTCTACATCAGAAATTAAAAACTTTAAACTATACATGAAAAAATTGAAATAAAACTTAAGCTGAAAGTAATCATAATAGAATTCAACATAACTAAGCACCTGCCTTTAAATACATTTTCCCAAAACTTCTGCAATATTCTGATGCAAACATCTTGATTGTAAACAACTTTGTCTTTTTATTTGTTTCACTCATGGGATGAAGCTAAGATTTTCAGCAATTTCAATTAAAACAAAAAAAAACTTAGTAGCTTTCCCACAGAGCTGTTTTAATCCCAATTAAGATAACAAGGTGTAGAGCTGGATGAACACAGCAGGCCAAGCAGCATCAGAGGAGCAGGAAGGCTGACGTTTCAGGCCTAGACCCTTCTTCAGAAATGGGGGAGAGGAAGGGGGTTCTGAAATAAATAGGGAGAGAGGGGGAGGCGGATAGAAGATGGGTGGACAGGAGAGAGACAGGTCAAAGAGGCGGGGATGGAGCCAATAAAGGTGAGTGTAGGTGGGGAGTTAGGGAGGAGATAGGTCAGTCCAGGGAGGACGGACAGGTCAAGGGGGCGGGATGAGGTTAGTAGGTAGGAGATGGGGGTGGGGCTTTAGGCGGGAGGAAGGACAGGTTAGGGAGGCGGGGACGAGCTGGGCTGGTTTTGGGATGTGGTAGGGGGAGGGGAGATTTTGAAGCTTGTGAAGTCCACATCGATACCATTGGGCTGCAGGTTTCCCAAGCAGAATATCAGTTGCTGTTCCTGCAACCTTCGGGTGGCAACGTCGTGGCACTGCAGGAGGCCCAGGATGGACATGTCGTCTGAGGAATGGGAGGGGGAGTTGAAATGGTTCGCGACTGGGAGGTGCAGTTGTTTAGTGCGAACCGAGCGTAGGTGTTCTGCAAAGCGGTCCCCAAGCCTCCGCTTGGTTTCCCTGATGTAGAGGAGGTCACATCAGGAGCAGCGGATACAGTATACCACATTAGCGGATGTGTAGGTGCAGCGGATGTGGAAAGTCTTCTTGGGGCCTGGGATGGGGGTGAGGTGTAGGGGCAGGTGTAGCACTTCCTGCAGTTGCAGGGAAAAGTGCCGGGTGTGGTGGGGCTGGAGGGGAGCGTGGAGCAGACAAGGGAGTCCCGGAGTGAATGGTCTCTCCGGAAAGCGGATAAGGGTGGGGAGGGAAAAATGTCTTTGGTGGTGGGGTCGGATTGCAGATGGCGGAAGTGTTGGAGGATGATGCGTTGGATCCAGAGGTTGGTGGAGTGGTACGTGACGATGAGGGGGATTCTGTTTTGGTTGTTATTACAGGGAGGGGGTGTGAGGGATGAGTTGCGGGAAATGCGGGAGACACGGTCGAGGGCGTTCTCGACCACGGGGGGGGGGGGGGGCGGTGGGGAGTTGCGGTCCTTGAAAAACGAGGACATCTGAGATGTACGGGAGTGGAATGCCTCATCCTGGGAGCAGATGCGGCGGAGGCGAAGGAACTGGGAATAGGGGATGGCATTTTTGCAGGAAGGTGGGTGGGAGGAGGTGTATTCTAGGTAACTGTGGGAATCGGTGGGTTTGAAATGGATATCGGTTTCCAAGCGAAGGCTTGGGGACCGCTTTGCAGAACACCTACGCTCAGTTCGCACTAAACAACTGCACCTCCCAGTCGCAAACCATTTCAACTCCCCCTCTCATTCCTCAGACGACATGTCCATCCTGGGCCTCCTGCAGTGCCACAACGATACCACCAGAAGGTTGCGGGAACAGCAACTCATATTCCGCTTGGGTACCCTGCAGCCCAATGGTATCAATGTGGACTTCACAAGCTTCAAAATCTCCCCTCCCCCTACTGCATTCCAAAACCAGTCCAGCTTGTCCCTGCCTCCCTAACCTGTCCTTCCTCCCACCTATCCCCTCCTCCCACCTCAAGCCCCACCCCCATCTCCTATTAACCTCATCCTGCCCCCTTGACCTGTCCGTCCTCCCTGGACTGACCTATCTCCTCCCTAACTCCCCACCTACACTCACCTTTACTGGCTCCATCCCCACCTCTTTGACATGCCTGTCTCCTCTCCCCATCTTCTATCTGCCTCCCCCTCTCTCCCTATTATATCAGAACCCCCTTCCCCTCCCCTATTTCTGAAGAAGGGTCTAGGCCCGAAACCTCAGCCTTCCTGCTCCTCTGATGCTGCTTGGCCTGCTGTGTTCTTCCAGGTCTACACCTTGTTAACTCAGATTTTCCAGCATCTGCAGTTCCTACCATCTCAAACAATTTTAATCTCAACTAGCTTGGTTTTAATCCATTTAACATCTCTTGCTTTTATAATATCCTAAGAAATTTAGTCCTATTTCTAGCCAACTGATCTGCTTTATTCAGTCGATTTTTATCTTCAGCACAGCTTAAGACTTTGAGCACCAATGTGAAAATTAACAAGTGCAGTCTATCATTTTTAGTCTATGAACATAAATAGCCACAATATTGCAGACACTGCCCAACTAATTTTTTTGTGCTGTGAAGCTCTGCACCACAATGATATATAGAAATTTAGCCCCATTTTGTAGTAAGAAATTGGTTTCTCCAAATTTTTAATCAGTATTTTTCAGGGGACATTTCTTTCCCCCAAAATGTATTAAAAATATCAATCTCTAATAGCTGTCACAAATATGGTACAGTCATGATTAGTATTATTTTGTAATTCTTGAAATAACTTTAGTTTTAGTTTTGGGCAAAGATGCCGAGGCTGAGCCAAATTTGAGCCCTAAACACAAACTCCATTCTCCAGACCACAGGAACATGGTACACTTATCTTGAAAGGCCTAGCGTATGTAAAGAAACAATTCTGCGCAATCCTACAAATTCTTGAGGAACATCCTTGGCAAAGACGGTCATGGCACTGCTATCATGAAGGGACTTTCTCCTTTCACTGTAATAAGGAACCTACGGATACCTTTTAAATGTGGACATTTTAGAATATCATGTACATCTGATTTCCTACAGAACTTTTTTTTTGTGATTTCAAATACATATTTAAATATTAGTTACAATTTTCAAAATACCAGTATGCAGATTTATGAACTGTAGAAGTTATGGAAAGAAATGAACTCAAACAGTAAAGCAACTTAAAGGCTAAATAACGTACCTAATGCTTCCTTAGGGGAGATACTGAGGCAATCAACATTCGGTCCATATGCAGGCTCATCTAAAAAAAGGAAACATACATTCAAGAGCACAAAACTGTAACTGGATAGATTACAAGTTCAAAAGGCCATAAAACACACGGCTTTCTGGTTAGTTGCAACAGTTTGCAGGCTTTCACAATGTAAAAGATGAGGATAGACAACTTTTATTTTTGAATTGAAATGTATTAAAATATACAGTGCTTGTTGGATGATGCTTTAATTGCCATTTTGTGGTAATAATATCCTGACTAGAGGTCACCATTTCCCAGGCAGCAAGTTCACAATGTTGGTTGAATTGCAAGCAGAAGGATCAATCACAGGTTCAGGAAAGAGGATAAAAGTACCTACACATTCAAAAGTGGGTTAATTCAAGTGCAGGGGATTGGACTGCAAATTGTGCTTGCAGTGTTTTAAAAAAAAAAAAAGTCTTTTCTGTATACTAGTGAACTTTACAATTATTGGGTAGACACCTCTAAGTTCTACTGCCCAGTTTAAAAGTGAAGAATAGTCATCCCAATTCCAGTTGGGGGTATTTCAAAAACTCTTCCTGTAGCACAGATGGTAAATTTAGTAGCAAAAGGCATACATGCCACAAGATCCATGGTTCTCACTTGCAGAAAGTATTGACTTCAGCTACAATGGTAGTAGGAACACTAATTAGCCTCAAGGCAAATCTCGCTTCATATTTTACTGCACTATCCTAAAACCATCAAAGTCATACTTCCATGACCTCACCAGAATATTCCCTTGAAAGTAGGCTGCCCAAAATGATTCACAATATTATAATTGTTGCTCCTGTCAATGAGTTAATTATCGGCTTTAACATACAAAAAAATTATTTTTTAATATTGTACTGTCTTTCACGGCCCTTGATAAGAGCTTCACATTGATGCAGTACTTCCAATGAACAGACAGCAATGGATTTCAACTTATAGTATTGGACAACTCCAAAACTTACTATCATTTTCTTCTTGCTTTGTGTCTTCAGGTGAGGACTGCTCTAGAAGGGCAGAATCAAAGGTCTGATCTGATGACTCCATTCTGGCTGACTGGAATTAGGCATAAAGATCTCATGAAATCATAGCAGAAATACAATATGAACTCATTATGAATAATACACTGAAGTAATTATGAGTGTGTTGTTGAATGGTAAAACTGTATTATAAAATTAATAGCATAACAATTTATTTATATAACTTGAACAAGTAAAAACAAAATCAAAGTCTACAGAGACATTAAATCAATAAACATGGAGCCACAGCAGAATATTTCATGAGATACCGCAAGCTTTGTCAATGAGATAGGTTTTAAGGAAGAAATTAAAGGAAGTTGGGTGACAACAGAGACTTAGGAGGAAATTCCAGAGCATGGGGTATGGGCAGCTAAAACCCATGACTGCTTTTGGTATGGGAAATGGAGGTGGGAGCACAAAATGATGCAGAATGGAGGAACATAGTTTGAGAAGCGTTAAGGTTGCCAGGAGGTTACAGTGAAAATCCTCATGAAATCAGTACCTTCAGAGTGTGAGGTGAACATTAGACACCTGATGCTTCCTTGTCTCTCTCAGATACTGACAGACTGACCAAATCTAAGACATCAAATGGACATTATGTGTCTCAAAAACCCATCTCCATGGCAATGTGAATTATATGGGCCTTGTTCGAAGTTAGAAATGTTAATTAACTATACTCAAGACCCTGAATTTCATTCTACGTTGGATTTAAGTAGACAGATTAAACTATTACTATTTACAACACCTGACATTCTAACATCTGTCTGGAACTTGGAGACAGTATCCACCATCAGCACATCCTCTTAAGTCATTATACACAACTGTGCCCTACTAAAGGATTTGTAACCCCTCCCATCTTTAATCTTTAGCAACCAAGCCACAAAATTTATCTTCAGCAGAATTCAGAACAGGTCACATGACACCACACCACAGTTGTCCAGAGCGCCATTCAAGTTGGAGAGAAGAGGAAAATGTAGTTATAATAGGGCACAACATAGTTAGGGGAAATAATACTGTCTTCTGCAGTACAAGAGAGACAGGACTAAAGGCTGTATGCCTACTCAACAAAGTGCAGGACAATTATTCTAGGCTGGAGAACTTGGAATTGAAGAGGGGAGATCTGGTTGTTGTGGTCCACGTGGGTATGAACAACACAGGTACAAGTAGGAAAGAAGGTTCTGCTGAGGGATTACAAGCACTTCAAGGCTAAAGTGAATAGCAGAACCATGAAGTTAACCGTATCACAAGGGAGGGAGGAGGAGGTAGTCAAGAGAGAGGAAAGCCTTCTTTGACTTGCGTTCTACTGTATCATTCACTATTCCATTTGCTTTGTTGACTGCTTCACATATTCAATTAGCATAGAGTCTCTCTCAAGTTCTTTGTTTAGCAATGCTTCCTACATATTTCATCTATTGTGCATTAATGCATTCACTTTCCGTTACATATTTGCCTAGCTCCTTTTCTAGATTCTCGGCAGTTTCTTGAATTCAGATTGCCTTATCTAGCAATCTGAATTTCATCAATTACGTTCAATTCTTGGATTCAGGTAATAAACATCCCGGTCAATTTTTTCTGCCATCCAAACATAATTGTATAAATAGATGCACACTTCTTTCCACACTGTAATCAAGTTCTTACTAACCACCAGGTACTATTGATCAAATCAACTAATAATTATTTTCGTCACTCAGCTCTATCCACAGTTAGCTGCAGTATTCAATCTGAAGAATCTTGTCAATATCCTTTCCTGTGCTAAACCCACTAGAAAAACACCAGTTGTGAAACAAATGAAAAAAAAACTTACATTAGTATGTGAGGCAAAGAAGTCTTCATCTTTACTCGTAGGCGATAGAGATGGATTTTCTGTATCATCAATCCACAGCTGAAACATACCAATAAAGAAAAACATGGAACTCCTAATTTTGCTGCTGCTATATACTCAAGATAAGCATTTGCCTTTACTCCTGTTGGTATTTCTCCTTCAGTTGTGACAGGATTAATTGTTTAAACAATAATCTCTTTACAGTTCTGTTTTGAATAATTTCAAGATAATCCCAAATTTACTGGAAATGCATAGCAGGTAAGTTAACATCAATAAATTGAAGAAAAATAAAAATTACAGAATGTTGTATGTTCAAGCTTTGTCAGAATTGATGATTGAAGAATAAGCATTTTGATTATTTAAACAGGGCAGAAAATGAGTATGTACAAAACAGAGGAATCAAATTAAAAAACCTGTAAGGCACTTCATAGAAAACTTCTGAGATGATGCATTCCTGATTTCCATTTGTTACATTTACATTGTTAGTTTAGTGCCAAGGTAAAGTCATTAAACTTCCAGTACAATTCTCGAATGCAGACCCAGCTTGATTCCAGGACAAAGGTGACACTAGACAGGAGGTGCAAATGTAACATGTTCTCATTCCTTATAAAGTAAAGTACTCAGGAAATCCATGGAATCTATACATTGCACACTCTATAAAATACCTGATCTCAAATCAAATGCTTTGAGAGAAATTCTCCATTTCCACACTTATCAGTTACATTCTTATTTTTTTGGACAGAGCTTTCCGCTAAACACAGCAGTTACATTTCAACATTTTAGTCAGATAGCAGTCAGTAAATAAATATATTCTGTTAGGAATCCAAACTGTTGCCACAGGTCCCAGACTATAGGTTACTTCATTAATAACCTTCTCACTAGCATGTAAATCACCAGTATCCTCTTTCAGAAATTATTCTCCAACACTTTACTGAAAATACTTCCAGGTTTATGATAATTATCACCATTGTTTGGAAATGTTACAAGCCTCAAATCAAAGACAATTGAGCTTCATGGAATGTAAGAGTCAGATTGAATTTTTTTTTAAAAAATGGCTCAACAGAAAACAAGCCATATTTGGTTGTTTTGCACAATGTTGGATAGTAGATAATGACATGTCTTGAGGGTCAGTGGGAGAATTACTGCTTTACTTAATGTTTAGAAAAAATTGGTTTTGGAATATAAAATAAAATTTGAAATCTGCTAAAACTAAATCCCCAGATTTCCAATCAGCCACAATAGGACATCTATGGTCTAGATAAATAGGCAGACAGTTAGCAGCACAAATTTGAAACAGGAGTAGAAGGTGAAGAATTTATATAGAAACAACAGAGGGAAGTGCTACAGACTAAATGCCGCAGTTTGAGTGAGCTGCAAGTACAAAAGGAACTGGAAGCTGAGGTTGGCAAGACATATTGAAAGAGTGGCCAGCAAAGCAGGTGGGATCTTAGGTTCACAGTTAGATGTTATCGAGTACAAAGAATGGAAGTTGTGCTGTACCTGTATAAATTTCAGGTTATGCCACAACCAGAGTATCAGTCTAGCCTGATCATCAGTTCAAGGAAGCACATGAGGATCCTTGAAGGCACAGAGGAAATTCACCACAATGATTCCAGGGACAGTAATGCTAACTACAAAGGTTAGGTTGGAGAAGGTGAGGTTTTTCTCCTTCGAACAAAAGTAATTGAGAGGAAATTTTATACAAGTGTACAGTGCTCTGCCCAGTTAAGTAACGTAAACAAAGAAAAGCTGTTCCCACTGACTGACGGTACAAGATGAATGGACACAGATTTCAGGCTTTCCAAAAGAGATGCAGGATAATGAGAAGAATTTAATTTATGTAGTGAGTAGTAATAACCTGAATTGCTCTACCTATGAAGGTTGTGGAAGTGCAGACAATGACTTCAAATTAAATTTGCTGGGCATGTAAGGGAAAAGAATATGCAGGGCCACAGAGATAGATAGGGAAAGGGACTAACTAGTCTGCTCTACTCAAAACCATCATGGACTCAATAGGCTAAATGGCTTTCTTTGGTGGCGGAACGACTGTTAGAAAAGCAAAGTACCAGTTCACTAAAGAAAATAATGATATGGTGATAAGCATTGAAGCTAAAAAGGTGACCTGGTAAACTAAGGCAACTATCCTATTATTACTGTTCTTCTCTAATGTTCCTGATTTAAATCTTTTATATTAAATTTCAGTCAAATTTTTAATAGCTTACCTTGGTCCCATATTTTCTGGTTGCAGCAACTGCCAGTGATCTCAGCTTCTCTCTATAAAGTTGGGCAGCACGGCTGTTGTATTTTGCATTTGTGTCATTGGTGTTGCAACCATGTTGACGGAAGAAAGCATTCTATTGAAAAGATAGAATGATCTATATATAAAAGATGCAAAGTAAAGAAAACATGGATTTTATTTGCCACTGCACCTGATGGATACGACACTAGTACCTTCTAGAATTGATGAGAGCGCAAGCTATGTGCTGAGCTTGTGAAGGCAAAATGATTCAAACTAACTTGAAGTTTACAGCATTTGGTACTGCACAGTGGGATTATCACTGACTTGTGTGATTAGAATACTCACTGTTGGAATTTTTTTTTCAATGCTCTTGTGGGATGTGGCATTGCTGGCCAGCCAGCATTTATTGCCCATCCCTAGCTGCCCTTGAGAAGGTGGTGGTGAACTGACTTCTTGAACTGATGCAGTGCCATAGATAGGTATACAATGCCATCAGGGAGGGATTTCCAGGATTTTGACTCAGCGACAGTGAAGGAACGGCAACATATTTCCAAGTCAGGGTGGTGAGTGGCTTGGAGAGGAACTTGCATGTGACAGCGTTTCTATGTATCTGATGTCCTTGTTTTTCAGATGGAAGTAGTTGTGGGTTTTGAAGGTGCTGTCTAAGGATCTTGGGTGAATGTTTGCACTGCATCTTGTAGCTTGAGTGTTATTGGAGTTGCACTCATCCAGGCAAGTGGGGAGTATTACATCACACTCCTAACTTGTGCCTTGTACATGGTGGTCAGGCTTTGGGGAGTCAGGTGGTGCGTTACTTGCTGGAGTATTCCTAGCCTCTGACCAGCGATGGAAACAGCATTGGATGTCGAGGAGTGGTGGTTAGATTGTCTCTTATTGGAGAAAGTCACTGTTATTTGTTACAATGTTACATGTCAGCCAAAGACTGGATATTGTCCAGGTGTTGTTGCATTTAAATAAGGACTGTTCCAGTATCTGAGGAGTCACAAATGGTGCTAAACATTGGCAAACATCCCTATTTCTGACCCAAGATGGAGGGAAGGTCATTGATGAAGCAGCTGCAGATGGTTGGGCCTAGGACACAATCCTGAGGAACTCCTGCAGAGATGTCCTGCAGCTGACATGACTGACCTCCAACAACCACATCCATCTTCCTACGTGCTAGGTGTGACTCTAACCAGCAGGCAAGTTTGCCTTCCGATTCCTACTGATTCCAGTTTTGCTAGTGTTTCTTGATACCACACTCAGTGGAAAGCAGCCTTGATTTCAAGGACTGCCACCTTCACCTTACCTCTGGAATTCAGATCTTTTGTCTATGTTTGAACCATGGCCATAAAGACATCAGGAATTGAGTGCCCGGCAGAACCCTATCTGAGCGTCACTGAGCAGGTTGTTGCAAAGCATGCGCTGCTTGATAGCGCTGTTGATGACACCTTCTGTCACTTCACTGATAATTGAGAGTGCAGTGACAAAATGGTAATTGGCCATTTTGAATTTGACCAGGCACATCCTGTACACAGAAAGCAGGACAACTAGCCATATTGGTCTGGTAGACACCAGCGTTGTAGCTGCACTGGAACATGTGTTCTATAACTTGCTGCTTCCCTAGACAATAAGTCTTCAGTACTATTACCAGAATGTTGTCAGGTTCACAGCCTTTGCAGTATCCAGTGGCCTCCAACCATTTCTTGATATCACACGGGAGTGAACCAAATTGGCTGAAGACTGACATCTGTGATGCCAATGGAGGAGGCTGAAGATTGTTGCAAATGCTTCTGCTTTATCCTTTGCACTAAGTGCAGAGCACTTAGATCATTGAAGATAGGAATGTTTGTGGACCAATCTTCCTCCTCTAGTGAATTGTTTAATTGTCCACCACCATTTATGACTGGATATGGCAAGACTGCAGAGCATAGATCTGGTCAATTGGTTGTGGGATCAGTTAGCTCTGTCTATCACTTGGTACATACGCTGTTTGGTATGCAAGTATTCCTGTTTGGTAACTTCACCAGTTGACCCCTCATTTTTAGGCATCCCTGGTGTTGTTCGTGGCATGTCATCCTGCACTCTCCATTGTGCCAGGCTTGATGATAAATAGTTGAGTGGGGAAATGCCAAGCCATAAGTTTGCAGATTGTGTTGGATTACAATTCTGCTGCTGTTGACGGCCCACAATGCTTCATGGATGAGCTGTCTTGAGTTGCTAGATCTGTTCGAAGTCTGTCCCATTTAGCATGGTCATAGCATCCACAACACGATGGAGGGTATTCTCCAAAGGCTGGACTTTGGTGAGTTTCTGCACTGCATCTTGTAGATCTTGAGTGTTATTGGAGTTGCACTCATCCAGGCAGATAGGACACAGATACTGCCATGGATGCATCTGGCAGACAGATCGGTGAGGTTCAGGTCACGTATGTTTTTCCCTCATTGCTTTCTTCACCTGCCGCAGTCCCAATCGAGCAGCTACGCCTTTCGGGACCCGAATGCTGCTGGGCCACTCTTGGTGGTGGACATTAAAGTTCCCCACCCAGAGTACATTTGCACCCCTGCCACCCTCAGAGCTTCCTTCAAGTGCTGTTCAACGTGGAAGAGTACCGATTCAAAAGCTGAGGGCACATGGTAATCAGCAGAAGGTTTCCTTGCTCATGTTTACCCGATGCCATGGGACTTCATGGGGTCTAGAATCAACGTGGACGACTCCCAGGGGCAACTCTCTTCTGACTGTGCCATCACTTCTGCTGGGCCTGTGCTGCCAGTGGGACAGGACATATCCGGAGATGATGGCAGTGGAGTCTGGAACATTGCCTATAGGGTATGATTCTTTGAGTAGGACTATGTCAGGCTGTTGCTTCACTAGTCTGAAAGACTCTCAATTTTGGCACTAGCCCCTAGATGTCAGTAAGGAGGACTTTGCAGGGTCAACAGGGCTGGGTTTGCTATTGTCAATTCTAGTGCCTAGTTCAATGCCAGGGAGTACATCAAGTTTCATTTCTTTGAGAGTCTGCAGCGGCTGACACAACAGAGTGACTTGCTAGGCCACTTCAGACGGCAGTTGAGAGTCAACTATGTTGCTGTGGGTCTGGAGTCACGTTTAGGCTAGACAAGGTGAGGATGACAGGTTTCCTTCCCTGAAGGACATGAGTGAACCAGATGGGCTTTTCTTGACAATCGACAATGGTTTCATGGTTAATTTTGGATGCTTAATTCCAAATTTTTTTTTTAAATATAGAATTCAAATTCCATCATCTGCCGTGGCAGGATTTAAACCCAGTGTCCACAACATTAGCAGAAGTTTCTGGATTAATTGTCGAGCCATCATCTCCCTTGATTCCATTGCAAAAGATAGTTATTTATCAAAAACTTACAATTTTGACACGAAAGCTGTTGCATTTCTATTAACTTTGTCACTTATTTGCTCGTAGAATAGTGAATTGCAGAATATACAGTGCCTTTATTTGTGAAAACACATTGTAAAACAAACAGATTTTGTTATTTCTGATTTGTTAGTTCTTGGGTTGCATCTAGAAAGACTACTACTGTCAGCTAGAAAACACTTAGGTCAAGTTATGGTTGGAGATCTTTCATGGGCAACTGTAGAGAGAGCAGTTTCAAGTAATGAATCCAGACTATCACATTAGAACGATGCAATATTGAAGACATTATCTTAAGTATGATTTTATCCCCTCTTCGGCATTTTAGTATGAATAAATTAAGTACTATGACAATAATATTACTTCAGTAATTACAGTACATAAGGAACCTGTGACAGGCTTTTTTAAAAACCTCCCATATCAAATATTTTGAAGATATTCTTCACATGATAACATACACACTTCTGCTTTCTATAATTTACATTAGTCTCAGCACGATCAAAGAAATTTAAGATCTCTGCCACCTTCTCTATCGGAATTTAATACTTCCAACATGATTCAGGAACTTGAACTGATTGGTATTGTTGTAGGCAAGATACCTCACACATCTTCCTTGTGCTACTGTTACAGCATTACAGTGGAAAGAAAATTAGGCTTATAAGTGTTTCTGCAAACCTTTTGTAAAGTACAAGCCTCCAAAAGCATGAAGTACAAAAATTCACAAAATAGTTATCAACCAGCAGTTAAGGAATTATAACACAAGTTTTGAAAATGTAACAATTTTTTTTATTTTACTTACAGCATTTGCATTTCCACCAAGTTGCATAGATCTTAGCTGAAACCAGGACCAATTAGAATCCAGTTCTGTAGATCTGGAAGATCAAGTAATAATAAAAAAAATTAAAGAAAAGCAGCCCAACACTGCTGAGAAGTGGCTTCCCTTTATGGGTTTTTAAAAAAAAAAAAATCACCAATGGTCATTGCATTTTAATATTTAGTTTATTTTCTAAATTCTATGCCTCATCTTGGCTATTTCCATAAAAGACAACAGCACAAATGCCACAAAGAATAGAATTGAACTTCCAGATAAAAATCAAATGCCTGCAAATTATAGCAATCAGTCAAAGTGTTGGAGACATCCAGCATCAATGGACAGATAAGTCAATGTTTTCAGGTATAACCTTTCACATCCATGCTGCGTAATGGTGGGAAGTGTGTGCTGCTGTTTCATTCCTCTGAAATACTGGAACCTTTCTAATTTTGCCAGCTGTTTTGTTTCAATTTTGGTCCTAATTTATCATTTACCTCAGCTATTGACACACTCTCCATTTTGCTAACTTCTAATTATACCCTTCTTTTCTTTTTATCAAATTACAGATCATTGCACCAATATTTCACACTTTCCTCTTTTCAACCTTTGTTCTCAATCTACTTTAATGCTTCATCCTCTTCAACAAAATATGGCTAAAATGTAAATAAAAACTTCATTTAGAAGTCTAGAACTTCAGCATATTACAGAACCACAAACTCTTTCCTTCACCACATCTGATCTGAAACTGGGACACTTACTTTCACCTAGGCAATCTCATCCTCCACTACCATCAAAACTCAAATCCACTCTGGTACCACGGCTGCAGCACTCCAGCGACCCCGACCATACAACGAGTAAAGCACTGGTTGACAAGCTTTTCAAACTGAGGTGTCCCTTTTTGTATGGATCAGTAATCTATATGAGTTCATCTGTATACTATTAATATGAAAAACAGGTTGCAAGTGATGTTTTTTAAGAAAACAGGTAGTACTGGTGGGTGTGTCAGTTTCTTACTGTAGAATTGTCCTATTCTTACCAGGAAGAGTACAAAGTACACTTCTGGTCACTGCTCACTCATTCTTGATTGTGATGCTCACCTGCAGGCTAGCTCTCCATCAACCTACAGACACCAGTTCTATAATTACTGGAGTAAAGCTGTAGTTGCATGGCAAGATGGTGGCATTGTGGTGACACCACTGATGCAGTAACTCAAGGGCAGACTAACACTATGGTTTCTATTACCATGATGGCAGCTAGTCAAATTTAAATGCAATTAATTAATGTGGAATATAACTCTGTCATGGTGACCACGAAACTATCATCAATTGTTAGAATGAAAAGATCTGATTCGCTTAGGTGGCCGAATTTCCTGAGCAGTGACAGTGACAGTGACAATCACATTCAGTGGAGTATAATAAAGCATGGGTTAAATTTGCATACTTAAATACAATTGTAAAACAACCAGATTTTGTTATTAGACAACAAGGTGTAGAGCTGGATGAACACAGCAGGCCAAGCAGCATCAGATGCTTGGCCTGCTGTGTTCATCCAGCTCTGCACCTTAATTACCTCAGATTCTCCAGTATCGGCAGTTCTTACTATCGCTGTAACAGATTTTGTTATTTCTGATTTGTTATTTCCTGTGTTGCATGTTGAGAGATCCTGGGTTGCATCACATGTAACTGCCCATCCTTACCTGGTCTGACCTACAGTTGACATCAAACCCACAGCAATGTACTTAATTCTTAGCTACCCTCTGGAGTGCTCTAGCAAGTTAACTAATTCAAGGGCAATTTGGGATGGGCAACAAATGCTGGCTTTGCACTGACATCCATATCCCATGAATGAAAGAATGGTTACTCTGTCCAATTAATTTCTAACTCAAAATCAAAAGATGCATAATAGTCATCTTTGCTGGGGCGTGATTGCCAACTGAACATATCTTAAAACAGGTCATTTTATTAAAAAAATGTTTCATTAAGCAAATGCAATATTTACATGAATGCAAGAAATAACCAATCTAAAGATTCCTAAAAAGGCTAAACTCGTTCTTGGTATTTCATACACTGTACACCGCTTGTCCTGGAAGGCATGGTACCTGATAAAACTCAAGTGAACACCAAGTGATCGATGCGTCCCCGAACAGTCAATACAGAGAAAGACGCCATAGGTTATACTCGCCCAGGTTGGGTTCTTGGCTGAACAGTCAAAGCAGGCCTGCAAAATTAAAATTTAAAACAGTCAACACAAGCCACTACTCATTTACGGTGTATCTTAATTACTCCTAGAAAACACAAACAAAATCTCAGACCAATGTTCCCATAAACAGAAAGCAAATCAACAGTAATAACTGAGGTCATTCTGATTCCTCCCAGACAAGAAAAGTTTTTGTTGATTTGAAAGAGTATTATCATTGAAGTTAGAATTTAATCCATAATCTCAAAACTCTGATTGTAACCTAATTAACACAATTACATTTTGCATCAATATTTATCAATTCATGGACAATACTTGTATACTAGGGAGTATCAGGTGTGAAATGAGCAAATCAACCTGGGTTTCTTACTGAATGTTGAAGTTTTAGTTGATGTAAAGCAGATAGGGCTCAAGTATTTAGAACTGAGGTCCAGAACGTAGGCCTCAGGCTCAAGGCACATAGTTTGCAGATGAAAGAAAAAGAGAAAACAGTAACATGCTAGGAACCATTAAATTCACAAAAGGTCTGGTGGGTTTCTAATTCTTCACCTGCAGTTTTCTAAAATAATGGAGCCGGATTTTCCGAGTAGTGCCAATCACATTCAGATTGCCACTCCACTCCTAATTTTTTTGTTATGACAGTACTCCGTATTTCTCACAGGAGATTCTGACCACTGCTCCTTCAAAAACGCAGAGCATGTCTGAGATCCAATATATCCCTTGTAGTGGAGGATAGTTGGGGAAAGTCAATATACATCTTTATCATAGCCTTATTCTATAATTTAAGTGTAAATCAGCAGAGATACCCTTTCACTGGAGCTGTCAAAGTGGCTAAGTATGCAAGATAAGGACGCAGGGTTAGGTTAGGGGAAAGGGAAAGAGCATGTCTGGAGATGGGGGAGCAGGCAGGGAGTCCAGATTAGTTTCTCAGGGCTTTGAATATAGCAGGACCCTCCAAGTGCTCAGATTTAAATGGATTTGTTTGGAGGGCTTGAGGTTCAGGGGTTTTGCCAAGTGGAATCTTCAAATCCCGTGCCATGCCCTTGAAGTCTGTTACCATGGGGATTCCACAGGTTCCTGAGACACAAATTCCATCTAAGCCGCAGAAACAACTATCTGGCCATTAGCAAATCCAGGTCATGATTTCTGACTTCTTTGAATTTCCCCTCAGTTTGCTTGATATGGAAGTAAAACCTATAGTTTTTCCAAGACAGGTGTCACTTTATAATCGCATTCGAGAAAGCTCACAAAACATGGTACATTGACTTGTACTCCCTGGTCATTGGGAAATATCTGGCGTGTACTTAACACTTCTCCCAATACTTAATCTCTGGTCAATAACAAAACTGACTCTTACCATTGTGTAATACATGCAACAGATTAGGCCATCAGAAAATACCAACTAAAATGAAACAAAATAAAAACAGCAGAGAGTAAATAATCTTAAGAAGGTGGGAGGGAAGGAAGAGTTGAGGGAGGAGAGGAGAGGGAGTGAATGTTGTCACTTTGTAACACCTCTGATAGAATAGCAAGAGTGGACCAAGCTCACTCAAATCTGATTCTTCCTGACATACCATGTTCAAATGATGAGAACTGGGTTTTATTTCATGCAATTGTTTCCAGCCTAGGGTAGTTATTATTTCACAATTACACCCTCTGATACATTCTTGCCTAATATAATTATAATCAGATCATTTTACCTTACTCATTAACAAAATAAATTTGAAATGTAGCTGAATCTCATATCACAGGAATCAATGCATTCCTGTGGTACTTTCTCCCATGGCAGTGCTTTATACAGCATTTATTAATTAACTCAGAATCACATTCAGACATTAGAAAGCCATCCTTACTGTATAATTGGGCTCCCTGCTATAGGAAAGATGTTGCAAAACTTGAAAGGATTCAGAAAAGATTTGCAAGGATATTGCCAGGATTGGAGGGTTTGAGCTATAGGGAGAGCGTGAATAGGCTGGGGCTTTTTCCCTTGGTGTGGTGGAGGTTGAGGATAATCTCAGAGGTTTATAAAATCATGAGGGGCATAGATAGGGTGAATAGCTAAGGTGTACTTCCCAGTGTAGGGGAATCCAAAACTAGAAGGCGTATGTTTTAAGGTGAGAGAGGGGAAAGATTTAAAAGGAACCTGAGGGGCAACTATTTCACACAGAGGGTGGTGTGTACGGAGCAGGTGGAGGTGGGTACAGTTACAACATTTAAATGGCATCTGGATGGGTACATGAAGATGAAGGGTTTTGAGAGATACGGGCCAAATGCTGGCAAATGGGACTAGATCAGTTTAGCGCAAACGAAGAGTCTGTTTCTGTGCTGTATAATGCCTTGACTCTAAGATAGAACTACCTACTTTTTTTATTAAGTATCTCTGCAACACAGTTCTGTTCAATCTAACACGGATCGCAAATTAACAAATATAAATCCCACAATTTCCTTTCTCTCCGTCTGTCTAGACCACATTTCTTCACGTGTGCATTTATGCAATTTGCCAAAAGTATGCTGGATGTGATAGTGGATTTCAGTCCAAAGTTCTACCTTTGGCCTAAGAATAAAAACACCCATCATGCTTCTTGGCCTGGACTCATCCACAAGGGGAATTAATCCTTCAAGTTCCCCATTTCATTGATTAGTTTAATATCTATACAGATTCCAATTTAACAACACTCTATAATCCCAAACAGAATGATGATAAAAGGGGATCATTCTTGTAGTTATAGACAGAAAAGAACCTGGCCAATCAGCATGAGGTGTCAGAGACCAGGCATCTCCTGAAACAAAAGATCAAAAAATCATGCTGGAATTACAGGTAAACCCAAAACTATTGCTAGCTGATGTAAAACCAATGGGGTCTCAAATTCTGATCAATTAAATAAAAACCTGCTTTGTTCCTTTTTATAAATTTAAAATGATGGATTTGCAGTGAAAGTTTATATGTAAAAATGTCAGGTTTTAGAATTTGGCAAGAACAACAACAGGACTGATATAACTGACAGTTACATTGGGTAACATTTTACAAGGAGAACAGAAGCTGAGAGCAACCAAGAAGTTTAAACATGTAAACCTTTCAAAATTTCCTCTTAAGACTCTCATTAAAACCTATTTCTTTGACCAAGCTTTTGTCTGCTCAAATATAGCCTTGTAGCTCAGAGTCAAATTCAGCTCAACAACAACAACATTCTTAAATAGCACCCTGGGAGGTTTGTTAGAGGTGCTACATAAATAAAAGTTGCTCCTTTAGGGGTCCTGCATTAGGAAAGGTGCTAAGGCTAGAAAGAGAGAATACTGAAGAGATTTATTAGTATAAAAGTTTGAAAGGCTTTAGCTACCAGAATTGACTGAGCAAACTGGAGTCCTTTCAGGAGCGCAAGGAAGATCAAGTGGAGATGGGACAGAGATGTTCAAAATGAACAGGTATGGATAGTGAAAATGGGGAAAGATTATTTCCATTGGTCGGGAAAGAGAAGATAGAACATTTATTTTGTTTAGTGGCTGCTGGTATGGGCTACCAGAAAATTTAGTCAAAGCAGAATAGCTTTTGAAAAGATTGTGGATAAATATTTGGGGAAAAAATATTAATGCATACAGGGAAAAGGAAGAGAAATTGTACTAAATGGAGTACTCTTTCAGAGAACCAACAAGGCAGAATGCATGGAATACCCTCCGTTTGGTGTTGTAACATTCTATTTTAATGGTAGCCATCATATACGGCAAACGTAGTTACTCGGTGTGGTTTTCAGCAACAGGTGCTCTCTATTTCAGGCAGCTGCTTGTTGATACACAAATAACATTAGTCATGATACCTTGTATGGTACCATATGCAACACATGATAGAGATGTGCTAGTCAAACATTTGAGATTAGGCCAGTATGGCATTGCTTTTATACCACCCATGGAATTTATTCTTTTATCTTTGAATTGCACATGACACACAGCATCTCTGGCGAGGGTATAACTTGTGTCACTGTTTCTTTGGGACAGCACAAGGTGATATTGATGGACAGTACATGCTAAATCCATATACATATTTTTTAAAAACTGGACTATCATCTGTCAGTACAAATCGATAGCTTATTCTTATTGATATTCCTAAAATATTATGACGCAACTTGGTCAAACAGAAAATCCTTTAAATATGACCCAGTTGGTAAGGGTGAATTGACTAACCCTTAGCAAAAGGCTCCAATGTATAAACAAACCAATCTTATATTTATTATGTTTATTCCATGTTGAGATTACTTCTGCATTCACAAAGTACAATACATTTAATTAAATGACAAAGATGAAAAATTGTCATTTGCACAATAAGGCTGATCACCATCAAAAACTGAATCAACATATTGGTTATATAACTATAAAGACAAGGAATTTCATCTTTCTTTACAACAGAACAAGTTATGGAATTCAAGACTGGTATACTTAAATTGATGGGAGACAAAGAAAAGAATTTTTCCTTTCTTTAAATCTTGATATTCCTACACACTTATTTCCAAATCTCTTGCAATGTTGCTTTCTAGCTCATCACCAGATATTGTAAAGATTGAAGCCTGCTGCAAACTCTGTTCCCTAGCAAATGATTGCATCACTCTCCCTACAACAGTCTGAGATTAAGTCAGTCTGTTCTCAACCTGGGTGTCACATTTGACCTCGGGGTAAGTTTCCAATCTCACCTGTGCCATCACCAACATTGCCACTTTTCACCTTTTAACATCACCAGACTTCACTACTGTCTCGGCTCATCTGCTGCTGAAACCCATGATCGTGCCTTAGTGTGGTCTAGTGGTAACAATCTCAATACATCCCTGGTTATTTCCCACATTCTGTTCTCTGTAAACTTGAAATTATCCAAAACTCTGCTGTACATGTTTTACGTCATTATCAAGTCCCATTCCCTCAGACTTGCTGACATTGGTTGGTTGACTGGGAGTCAATCTATGCCTTGATATCAACATTCCCAAACTTGCCTTCAAAATTTCTCCACTGGCTTGCACTTTCCTATCTCAATCACCTCC